ATCTCCGATCGACATTCCGGCCACGACTATACCGTATATAAATTTTTAGTTATCCTAAGTTTAAAATATGTAGAAAATTAAAATATGTAGAAAAAAAAAATATGTAGAAAAAAAGAAATATGTATCCTAAGTTTAGTTCAAATTTAAAAGTCTTATTTATTACATACAAATACGAGGTACTCAAATTAGATTCAATTTAAGACTTAATTAGATTGCAATTCGAAAGAGATAGCAGTCTATAACTGCTATATTTTTCGGTATCATACGTTCTATATCATCTGTCACATTATGTCATATAATATAAAGTGGAACAATTTTTAAACTTCGCGCAGTATCGCGCTTACCATCAAAGGCTGCATCGCCACTTACCATCAGGTGGGATGGCAGCCAAATGCTGGCCAATTCGAAATAAAAAATAATGGATATGCGTCACCTACATTATTAAACATCATTGGTGCCAATGCATAATATACAGGGAGGCTTTTTGAAAAGTGCCCAAATTTACACAGGTGGTTCAGACTCGGTAGTATAATCGTTTATTGAAATGAAAAACTACTTATTTTTTCAGAAAAAATGCCATTCTATTCCCTAAAAAACAGAACTTGTTGACAATGCGGTAGTCATTCATAAATACCTAAATTTTACTGTGCACGAACTTGTGTGCGTGTTGGTTATGAATGATTGCGCGTAAAATAAATGAATTGCGTATAAATCACACTTTTTGAGATAAGTTCAAATTAATGTAATTAATTACTTACGAGTGATTTTAAATTTTTATAATTTTTTTATATACTTATCATTATTTATGTCTAGAATTTATTAAAAAAATGGATATACTTAGAAAAGCTTCCCTGTATATGTACATTACATACATCATACAAATATACATAAATACATACATTACATACGCTCCAAGAATGTTTTCTCCTTCGGCAGTCGGGTAAAAAGCAATACAGCTTTTATCACAAATGTAAATCCTAATTATGATGATAAAAATAACGTTATAAGTAGAGGGTCTTTTATTTAAATTCACAACTTTGCCCAATAGCCCTCTTTTTTAAACGGTTTTATTTAGCTCGACCCGGAATTTGTTTGTTGGGGTCAAAATTAGAAATTGAAATTTAAGCACCTTGCCGTTGTCAGATTGATCTGAAATTTGGTACACACATTTAATTTAGATGACAATACAATATTAACAAAAAAAATTAAACAAAAAATAAAACAAAAAAAAAAACCGTTTAACTTAAAAGTTTTTAAACGGTTTTATTTATTATAATATATGGTCGACAGCAATTATAACAGGATTTTTAAATTAAGTAATCATACGTATATGCAACGTGCCACTAAGTGCAACAACTTAAAAGATAAAGAACGCCTTATCGATACCAACGTCTGGTATCGATAAGAATGCCTTTAAATATTTACAGATAATGAATTTAATACAATGTATGCGTTTTGATTAATTTAACCAACCTAACACGCCGACGATAATTTGATTAACTGTGTTTCTATGTTGTTTATATATGAAATTTAAATGTAACACAAAAATAAAAATTACATTCCACGGCTCAATTACAAATAAATAATTTCATTATAACTTACTTCGATTTTATTGCAAGTGAAATATTTGCTTTACGTTTCATTTAAAAAAAATATGTCAGAATATAAGTATTTAGCCTTAAAATTATACAGAGTTAACTTCAAATGCCCTTTATTAAATTTATTTAGTTTTCTTTTTCCTAAATTTTAAAGAATAAAAATCAGAATCATTTAAATTAAAGTCGTTTGCTTATTTGTTTGGGTATTTGATTGTAACCGCGCTATGCGGACGCTGTTGAATGAGAAAGTTCTTCTTTGGTGTTATTAGAGACTAATACTAACGAAGAACTTAACCGTCTGGTTGTTTCCGACCGATTATAATGAGCTAGGGTGCTTACCATCTTCGGCTGAATCGCCATTTACCGTCAGGTGGGATGGCAGTCAAATGCTTGCCAGTCCCGAGTAAATAAACCGCTGAATGAAATGTTCTCCGCTTTTCCACCGACGAGATTTCGTATTTCGAACAATAGCACACCATTATTTATTACCATGTACATCAACGTCTTAATCTCCTACGTTCATCATTATGCTCTCGGCTGTCAGTTTCTGGATAGACATGCAACTATTTCAGATCAGAATCTTGCTGACTGGACTTGCTGGCCTTTGTATTAAACTGTTGTGTATTGTTTATCGACCTCTGGGTCGTTTACCCGACTCGTATAGGCTTTCAAGCAATGTGCCTAAGGTTTTTCATTAATAACATCTTTACGAGTATATATCTTATATATATTAATACATGAAGTAAAAACTTTGTACCCCTTTTTACGAAAATTGCGCGGGCGGAGGAGTATGAAATTTCCCACAATTATAGCTTACTAGCTCCTGCCCGCGACTACGTTTGCGTAGAATCGCTGAAGGCGTAACATTCAGACAGAAAGATTAATATACATATAATTATGTAATAATTTATATCCTTTGTCTTATTCTGATGTATAAGCTATATTATTGTAAAGTCTCATTAAAATCCATTCAGTAGTAATTGCGTGAGAGTAACAAAAATCCATCCATACATACAAACTTTCGCCTTTATAATATTAGTAAGGATATAGAGGAGTGCAGAATGCTAATATTTTTTTAAATTATACATAAAAAATACATCAATAAAAGAACATTACACGCACTACCATGTAATGTAATAAATTAGGGTCGAATTTCGACCACTGAGCGACTCCTAGAATTAATTTATTATGCTACTAAAAACATTGAGTATGGAAGTTTTATTAGTGTTTAATAAAGTCATGATAATCTAATCAACTTAGCACGTGTAGACACAAAGAAAGCGATAACCTTTTGGTTGTATATTTATCATATATGAACGTACTACCGGAATAAGTACCTACGTAACCATTTAATATTGGCAAGACTGAATAAACGATCATATTACGAACGTTTAAATAACGAGTTAAAACAAGTAAGGCGTATTATGATCTATGTTATTTCTAGTACGTGAGTTCAGTAGTAGTTAAACATACATAATATGCAACATATACAAACAAGTTGCAACAAACCAAGTTTACTTTAACGAAGGCCATTGTGTAATCAAAACTAATGTCGTCAGACAGCATATGACATAAAGAAGTATATAACATAACAAGAAAGGAAACTAAAGTCTCAGCCCATACATATCCCACTGCTGGGCAAAGGCCTCCTCTGTACAGAGGTTGTCAGGTTAGGGCATAGTCCATCACGCGGCCGCATTGCGGATTCGTAGACTTCACATACCTTTCTTCTCACGATGTTTTCCACCACCGCTGAGCACGTGATAAGTTAGCACTTAAATTAAGAATTTCATTGGTGCCAGCACCGGGGATCGAACACAAGTTGCTCGAGTATCCATTGTGCAAAATTTTAACGGAATTGCTTAACAATAGTTTTATTACGTCCTCTTTGGTATTAACTGAATAAATGACTTCCTTTATTCAGCAATACAGTCGAATAAAGAGGTTTACAAAGAATAAAAAAAATCAAGACCAAAAATACGACGTTTAAATGTCAAAGAACTCGAACGTAAAGTTTTTAATCCTATATGTATGTGTCTACTTATATATAGTTTACGAGAAAATTTCAACCAGATCTGATAAAAAATTCAGATAAGTAAAGGTGTACGTTATTTTTACTAAAAATAAGTAGGTAGATTCTTTGAAAGACATTTATTTTAATGCATGTTTATCTTATTTATTATGTAAGGTAAAACACAATTCCCTCCAATCGATATGAGTTCGCTATTATACCAAAATTAGCTGTCACCCGCAGGGTCATAACATTTTCTTTAAGTAAAAAAAATATAGGTTCCGGATAAGTAATCACCAACATAACATATACTAAAACCTTCTCCGAAGCACGCCGCATCTTATGGTATAAGTATTATTCTAATCGGTTCAGTAGTTTTCGCAGTATAACCGAACAAAAAAAACCAGCTCATTTATTGGTATATATTGGTATATACAAAAATTGGCGAAGTAAAAGTGCTTGTAATTCTTCGTTTCATCCCGTAAGTGAGATAACCGGACTATATTTCAGGACACATTTTACACAACGTTTTCTAGTCCCACTCTAAGCAACGCTTGTACTATGGATACTAGATAACTGATAAACAATCTTTTGTTTTGTAAATAAATACATATTTTACATATATAAATACCCAGACACTGGAAAAACACCATGTTCATCACTCAATATTTTTCCAGTAGTGGGAATCGAACCCACACCCTCTGGTGCAAGAGGCAGGGTCACTACCCACAACGCCAATCGAGTCAATACAATACCTCCCTACCAGCTTTTACGACTCCCTAAAGCTCTTAAATGATACCATCTATACAAATCATTAAAAAAATTAACTTCGCTTATTAACAAATAGTTTTTCGCTATCTCGAACATGTGTCGCTGGGTTCGTTCACCGTTAATTTGATAACTGCATGGAGTGGAGGTCGTTTTGTCATTATACAGTGTAGGTGTGTGTGTACTTTAATTTAGGGCTGCATCCTTAGTGATAAAATATAAATAGTGAATCCCCGAGCGCTATTTCATAAAATTTATAAAAATATTTGTTTTAATTTGTAAAATCAATATGATGTTGATTGAAAAGTAAGGTTACTTTTTATGTGAGTAAGTGCCAAGCTGGTGATAAGTGATAATCCGCCGCCCATGGAAGTCTGGGCACCGTTTACTTCCACTCACCACACGGAACGTAGAAGTATAATACTTCCACAACACCAAGTCTTCTTGTGTGATCGTGGTACTTCCCCGGACGAACCTTTCCATTCACTAATAAGCCACGTTGCTCTGAAGGCAACGACAAACGTGATATAAAATTCTCATTGATGTGATTATTAACTATGTTGCTAATGCTAATAAATTGTTAACATCATAATAATTTTCTTTATTGTTTCAGTTCGAGCAAAATGGCCTCTAATGAGGCACCCCTTGAGAAAAGCGATGACGCGAACGGAAGGTCGAGCGTCAGTGGTACTGGTAGTCATGTCAAATTAAGGCGGGAACTGGGACTTTTTTCTGCTGTTAATCTTATACTTGGCGTGATGATTGGGTCAGGAATTTTCATATCCCCGGCATCTGCATTAGAACATTCCGGTTCCGTTGCTTTATGTTTGATAATATGGACAGTGTCTGGAGTTATTTCCTTACTAGGTGGGTGTAGGTAAGACGCCTATTACGAGCTTATTCAGTACTGTATCTAAACATTCTTTCTTACACTTTTATTTATTGCCAACCGTAAATAAAAAGATAATAAAGGGCGGATTTAATTCCCAAAAGCATTCACTATCAACCTTGACTACCAATAAACTTAAAAACGCTTATTTCATTAAATACAGAGAAATTATTAAAATTAACAAAAAAAAATCATAAATTGCGATTGTAGCATAAAAGACAAAGTAAAAATCTATTTGATTAGTTGTTACTATATTTGAATATCAAAAAAAAAATATTAACATGTATTATAGAAACATCACATCGCTAACTTCCAGCTAACATACAAACTGTAAAATGTTTTTATGGAAATTTTAGTACATGATTTAATTAGTAGTTTTAAGTAGTAATCCGCATCTGCAATTAATTTAAGAAACTCAATACTTTAACCTATAACATATTCCTCAAAACCTATTTTATAATATATGCCTTAACCTATAATTATGCGTCATTTATTTATATGATGATAGTTTTAATTTTTTGCTTTTAAATTTTAACAATGCGAGCTCCCTGTTATTATTGCTAATAGCTTCATGAACTACTTTTTCATGATTTTTTTTATCATAGCCCTTAATTGCTTTTTAGGTGCTCTGTCTTTCGCTGAATTAGGAACTGTGCTGGGTAAATCTGGTGCAGAATATTCATACTTTCAAGAAGCATTTGGCAATTGTCACAAGTATTGGGGGCCACTGCCGTCGTTTTTATGCGCGTGGATATATGTAGTAATTCTAAGGCCTGCTGAAGTAGCCGTTGTTGTAATGACATTTGCAGAATATGCAATACAACCGTTTACAATTAATATACATCCGGATTATAAAGATACAGCTATTAAGTTAGCATCATTGTCTGCATTATGTAAGTACCTACTCTCTTTCCGTTTGTATATATATATATTATGATATATAGAGATATATATAGCTTAATGTTTAATAATTGCCAAAAAATTACATAAAATGATTGCCAAACAAATGTATCTCCTTAAGTGTAATACTTAAGTCGGTGTAATGGAACGTGACTTACTGTTGTCTATGGTAACGTCAGTCCTGCTGGTCTCGGTTCTCGGTTGTCACTTGTCAATTTTAAATTCAAACCGCAAACGAACAAATGTTTTACGCTTTTGCTGTTTGTTTGTTCACCATTAATCAAAGAAGTTTCTTCTGCTTAACTACTAAAGTTACTTTTTGAATTAAGTTTGTTTTATATCGGATTCTTATTAAGTGACAGTTTTTGAAAACAAACTTTGTATTAAAGGTATGTATAGAGCTATACGTTTACTTGATGCTTGTTTTGTAGCTATTTACTCATATTTACGCTTCTTATAAATTTCAGGATGAATAAATTGGACAAGAAAAACGAAACCAGAGAAGCATTGTCAAAGGAGTTAAAATTATTAAAAGAGCGATGTGTTTACGCTTGCAATGTTATTGAGAATTCACGCGACATTGGTTTGATACCTGATAATATCGAGGATAAATCTTTGAATTATGTGGAAGCATTACGAACAGAGATACAGACACCGAATACGGTCATAACTACTGATAATAATTTACTAACTGGTCAATTTCTATCCGATATTAAAAAAAAAAATGAGCAGGTTGAAGAACTAATTGCTTACACAAAAGGATTAATAAATGACTACAATGTTGAAATAGAAAGGTACAATAATATCTATGTTCTCTATTCAGATTTCTATATTTTTAAGTAAATAAACTTACTTCAAAATATAGAATTTTTACTGCAATTAGTATTTATTTTACCAGTATCAATTGTTATAAAAAAAAAATCTAGTACTGTTAAATGCTTAAGAAATATTGAAGTATATATATTTTCAAGTAGCTGTCCAATATAAGCAGTTTATGGTTAATTTCCACAAATACAAATACTAAAATTACTCTGAACAAACCCAAGTGTAAGCACATTTATGTACTTATAAATCAGTATCAAATTTTATTTTTTAATTATCGCTTTAAAATCATAATTATTTATAAATAACATAAATAATAAATTGTTTTAATGTATCTGTAATGTATATAATCATACATAATATAATTATGATAGTTAGTATACATATAGATATATTAAAACAATTGACTTGATAACAACCAATCTGAACATATTTAAACTAGAATATTATATTTCCATGCTTTTATCTGGTCTACCAAAGTATTTATTAAAGTAGCGGATTTTATGAGTAAAATTAGGTTTAAGTTTAATTTATGTTCCGCAGGTTAGAAAATTTGCTCCATACAGCCAAAGAAGCCACATCTAGACCAAGAGTGATAAAGAAGGATATTCATCCGCAGCACATACAAAAGGCAAAAGCTAGATTTCAAATGATGAAGAACGAGCTCCATGGGCTTATACAATCTCTTTATCCTAACTCCGCAGGCCTAATAAAGGATATTTTAGGGGTAAGTTTCAGAATCCATTGTTTTATTGTCACTGAACTGACCTTAGAACGACTTGCTTTTATTTTCATAACTTGATGAATCTGTAGTTTAGTTGCTAATGTTAATACTTTATACCCAAGATTACCTGTAAATTGTTATTTTTTGTAGATAAACAAGCAGAAACTTTTGGTGCTGTGGGATTCCAACTTGCATCTTTGATTTCGTGCCAAGACCCTTTACTAAGCTAAGATTTAGCGCCAAAAGCTTTGTTCATTTATCTACAAAACTCTACAATTTAAAGTTAAGCTTGAATATAGAGAATAGCACTAAGAGTAAGAATAGAAATTAATCCCAATACAGATTAACTGTACCAATCTAAAGCTAATTATGATTACATTATTGTATAAAAAAGCCTTTTAATACCTTAACCGACTCAAAGGTCATGTGTTTTATTAATTGAGTTTTTAATTCAAAATAATTTTAACATTAGTTAAGTTGAACAAAATTTTTGACATAATTTGTATTTTTTTAGCAACTGATGCAGGAGAAATTAGATGAGACATCCAATGGCTATATACAGTTCACAACAGAAAACTACCCGGCCATAGAAGTGTTAAAAGACATGCAATTAGTGTCTACAAACCCTTACAATAATTCGGAAGTCAAACTTGTTTATTGATTGAGTACTATTTTGTTAAAATTAAATGAATGATAATGTTTTTTTATTAATGACATGAGAAAAAAAACTATTTTATCCAAAATGTGTTTTCTTTATTATTTGTAATATTTTTTCATTTACTATTTCAATAAACATATCAGCTTTCAGAAATATCAACTTTAAGCACTAGAAAAGGTCTCGATACAAAATTACAAGTAAACATTAATAAAACACTTATTTTTTAAATGACTTCATTTTTTTAATTCTTATTATTTTTTTTACATTTTTCTAGTCAAATATCATCGATCAGTGTACTGTTTTCAATCACATTATTAATTGCTGAGAGTGTTACTAGTGTTTCAGTGCTATTTGACATATATGTATATCCATAGCACCTGTCATTTAACTTTTAAAAAGGGCATTAAATTTTTAAAAAGGGCCCCAACAAACCATATCTTAATTTGATTTGAGGGTATCCAAAGAAAGATTTAGCAATATTTGATTAATAATGTAACATGGTTTTATTGTCATAGTGTACAAGTCTCTTTTCTGTACCTACACTGATAACAAACACGAGCAATGTTCGATATTGAAATGCTCTAATGGCATTTACGTTTTGGATTAAGAATTCTAAAGTGGGTCTATCAAGCCTAAAAAGGCTTTGTCGATCATTGATTTATTCCCTTGTAACTAAAAAGTGACTATTTTTTGCTGTAATACAATTCCAAATAGACCTCGACAAGTACCTATTTATGATAAAAGAAACATAATGTACGAAAAAAGTACCGAGTTTTAGTAAATGGATAACGTGACTGTAATGGGAAAAGTTTTTGAAGACAATAATCTGTTTGAATGGAACTTTTTTTTCGATTGCCTTAAAAGAAAATATCGAACCACACGTTTTGCCTCCAGACCCGTCGGGAACAGTCGTACATGCGCGGTTGATAAACCCATTAAACTTCTTTGCGTTGTTCACGCCAGGTTTCTGAGACACTGATCATCGTTAATCGTAGTAATTAACTAATCAGCTGTCAAATGGCTTCTCAAATGTCATTTGAGTTGCCAAAAGGATGGTTAAACAATGGTTAGAGTTATTGATGGTGACAATTGATCGTTCTGATCAATTTTTACTTATTTAACCATCCTTCTGGCAACTCAAATATGATTCGTCCATTTGACAGCTGATTAAGGTGAAATAATTGAGTTATTTGCGGTGTACATTTACACTGTGTCAAAAGTAAATAGACAGCATCCAAATATTGTGCCCGCCAAACGTAGTATGACAACCACACGAGCTAGACGATGGAGCATCTCTCGTCTCTCGCATTAATTGATACAATATTATTTTAGTTGTGATGACCTACATCAACATAACCAGCGTGAAGTTGTTCGTAAAGGTGCAGAACATTTTCGGTGTCTGTAAGGTGTTCGCTTGCCTTATCGTCATCGGCGGTGGCGCATACGAGATTGCGAAAGGTGGGTGCAAAAACAAAAGTGCTGGGTGGTTTCCTTATTTCACAAAACGTTATCTCACGTATGTGAAGTTAACGCGATATATGAATCATCTTGTTAGTGGTGTTTCAAGGCTTTCTAGGCGGCTACCCTCGTTGAGAACATACACATCCGCAACGATGATCTGGTCGCACTAATAATTGTACCGAGCGCGAATCGAACCCGCGACCACGAAGCCAATGGCAACTGCGCCATCGAGTCGCCTATTTTTTAAAAAACTTACTGTGTTCGAAATACTGAAATTGCCTAGAATTCTCGTACTATTGAGGCTGTGCAATATACATGTGTATGTATACATGTTTTGACGTCATACACAGCTTAACGCTTATAACAATAACGTGACAATAAATCAAGACGTACCGTCAAGTACTCGAAATTCCCTTTTATATGACAGGAAGTGGCAAATTTTGTAATTTTAGGGAAATAAAAACTTATTAAATCGATAATTTATATACAATACAATATCAGCCTATTGCCGTCCACTGCTGAACGTAAGTCCATCGTGCTGCAGGCCGTTCCACTATACGTTTTCTAATTAATAAACCGACTAACAATAAATGTATGAGAAATCGGCTCAATCAATCTATAATTGAAAATAAGATTTTTGTGACATAGAGAGATGCCGAAAAAAGCTCAGTGGTAAAATGAATTAATTTAATCCACTTTTATGACATCCTTGTGGATAGCTATCATTATTTAGAAATTTTCTATCGATCAGGTAACACCGGGAGCCTGGGCAAAGGTTTTGAGGGCAGCACCACCAGCCCTGGCGGGGTCGCGCTCGCCCTTTACTCAGGGCTGTGGGCATACGACGGCTGGAACAGTGTGACGGTGGTCACTGAAGAGATCATCAACCCTGGCGTGTGAGTTTCTCAATCGAACACGGGTGAGCGACTTCTGCCGGCCATGGGCTTCGGCGGAAAATGAATGGTTGCAGGTGTTGCCACTCTAATCAGGCGCACCGTTTGCTCTTTTGTCGCTTACTCCCGTAAAAGTTGCCAGGACAAATGGTTTAATGGAGACAATTTTACCGTTTAGAATAAAGAGTGGAGTCTTTTTACTATACATATTTCACCCGTCTTATAGTTAGTAGAGACGCATCAACTAACTTTTTCAATTGATATTTTACTTTTAAACCTATTACAACTCGCAAAATTTTGCACCACGGCACTAGCACTTTTAATTTAAATAGCAAATTTGATAGTTTTTAAATATTCATTGTAAAAATAAATTAATACATTTTAAATTCGAAACAATTTGTTGTCTTCTCTTTGTACACGTTACTTGTAGGGTATTACATCTTATCCTTTTCATAACTGTTTTTGTGTGACAGCAAATAAGTTTTCTAACCTCGAGTTATCGTAATAACTGGAGTATTGAGGGCGGTCACTTTAATACATACTTCAAATAAGAGCGAGGATCTCAGTTTGGTTGCATTTATTTAAATGTTTATTTTAAAAAAAATTGTCGACGTCAGTCAACTTATTTTTACTGTGGTAGGGCCACACAGCAACTCTAAGAGCAAAAATGAACAGGATCATTCAGGGAAGTACCAACGCCTTACAGAAGAACAGCGTAAAGTGGAAATATTAAACTTTTGCGTTTCATCCGATGAGTGAGGGCCAGGGCCCACTATAAAAGTTTGTCAACGCATCTACAACCCGTCAGGCGTACGGCTGGTGGAAATCGACATCGGTTGAGTCGCATGCTCGCTTCACAAGTACACACAACACACAGCCTGTCGAAAACGTTTCCGTCTCCCGTACGGCAGCAACGTGCCGCTGAGCATATCGATCGCGGTGCCCCTCATCACGGCGCTGTACGTGTCTATGAACGTGGCGTACATGGCGGTGCTCACGCCCGCCGAGATGGTGTCCGTGCCGGCGGTGGCGGTCGCCTTCGGGGACCGGGTGCTCGGCCGCGGCAGCTTCCTGGTGCCGCTCGGCGTGGCGGTGGCCACCTTCGGCTGCGCGCTGAGCGTCCAGTTCGGCGTCACCAGGTGGGCTCCCGGCGAAGCGGTTCTGGTAGTCTGTTGGGCAACTTGTTGTAAGTTGATCGGGGGGTACGAAAAGATGTTGGAAGCCTCGCTCGGGTCGGCGTCACCAGGTGGGCTCCCGGAGCGACCGCTGGAGGGTGTTGGGTTCCGATGTGGGATTAGAGACGGCATGATAGACGAACGACGAAGCGGTCCTGTCATTACAGTTCGTGAGGCAAATTATTATACGGTGATCGGAGGTAACTTTAGTATAATATTATCCTGTGTTGTAAAGGACGTTTTACAAACATAAATTTGACGCGGACAAACACCTAGATGCGAAACAACTATCTGTGGGTCACGCAAATAGTTGTCCCGTGTGGGAATCGAACCCACGACCCCCGACGCCGAAGCCAATACCTTGACAACTGCGCCACGGAGTCATCAGTTATTTTGCACTTATATCTTCGCTTGTTATTCCTTTTAGAATTTTAAAGTTTTTTATAGTGCTTATCTCTGCACTTAAGATTAAATATTAAAACTTGTAGATAAAGTACGAATCAGCCGTTTCGCTTAGTGGCTAAAGCGTCAGGCCGCGAATGCCGAAGACGTGGGTTCGGTTCCCACAGCGGCGACAAACTTTTCGTAATTTTTCTACAAGTTTTAATTGTTATTATGTATTCTTAATTTTACTGAAATTATTTGCTGTTAATTATCCATTTACTATTACACTTTCTTGTATTCTTGTATTTACCTGAAACAATGCTCAATGTGGTGTCACCTAATAAGGTACATGCACAAGAATTTTTATGTATGTCTTATTATTTAAACGTTAATGTTCGTATTCCAGAGTTTGCTACACCGCGGCCCGCGGTGGGCACATGCTGGAGGTGTTCTCGTATGTGAACGTGAAGCACCTCACCCCCGCGCCAGCCGTAGCGTTCCAGGTGACTGCCCCCCCCCCCCCCCCCCCCCCGCTTTTGACCTGGATGCAGCCCTAAAAGTATCTGTGCCATAAATCTCATAAAGTCTACGTCAGGATTATTACACCGGCGATGGATCGGATTGGATTCATAAGAAACTCGAATAGAAAGCTGTTGTTTTTTTTTGTTTCGACGTAGGTGCGAAGCAAAAATCCAAAATCCAATTTATATTTATAGCCGTTTAAAATTCTACGACGGAAGTGACGGTGTATGCAAACGTTGCAAAGCGTTATTAATAGAAGACCGGCGTGAGGTGGAAGTATTACACTTCTGCGTTTCGTCGGGCGAGCGAGGTAGCCGGGGCGCTCTATTAAAAGGTGGCAACGCATCTGCAACCCTTCGGCTGTTGCAAATGTCGTTTAACATCCGGCAAACCGCCAGCTCGCTTGCCTTATAAAATAAAAATAAAAAGTTTGTGTGTACTTATGTACGCACGTAAGAACAGCCCACCGGTTCAGCGTTCGATGAAGCTTCAATAGTCGCGGAACTGAAAGCACAAACATCGGTCAATGCAAGATACTTCTGCGTTTCGACTGGCGAGCGTGGTAGCCGAGGCGCGCTTTATCAAAAGATTGCCACCCTGCCAACCCCCTGCTGCTGCAAATGTCGCTTGACATCGGAGAACAGCTTAGAAAAGAAAACGTCGCAGGCGGTGCTGACGAGCGCGTTCATCCTGACGGGCAACATCCGCACGCTGATCGACTTCGCGAGCTGGTTCCTGTGGTTCTTCTACGGGCTGGCGATGGTCGCGCTGCTCGTGCTGCGGCGCACGCGCGCCTCCAGCCCGCGGCCCTACCGCGTGCCCACGCCGGTGCCGTGCGCCGTGCTGGCCGTGGCGCTCTTCCTCTCCGTGCTGCCGCTGGTGCACGACCCTTCGCTCAAGTACCTCGCCGCGCTCGGGTTCATCGCCCTCGGCGTCGCGCTCTACACGGTCTTCGTCTACCACCGGAAGACGCCCGCCGCGCTGCTCAGTGAGTGGCCATTCTCTACTTTCCTTCTTTCTTTCTTTCTTCCTTTCTTTCTTTCTTCTCATTCTTGCTTTCTCATGTAATATTAATACGGAGATGAAATTATAACAGTCAGTTTACATTCCAAGAATGCGACGACGGCGAGTTGAAAATAAATGTTTGTGACCATACACGGTAAAAAAACTTAAAACCAATAAATATATAACTAAACTAGAGTAATACAGAACAGATCATGTAGCATTTAAGGCTGCTTTCAATTGTGCTTGTTGTACCGCTTGACCTAAACGCGGTGGAGCTGGAGACAGTGGCAATTTAATGTAAAAGTAAAGAAAACAATAAATACAGCGTGTCGTTACCACCGCGACAATAAATGAACACACATATAGAGGATAAATTTTTAAAATTGTATTAAACATTTACATTCTTCAAACATCAATATTTACATAATTATTAAATTTTACAAAACAAACAATTTTAGAACACCCTTACATATAAAACTGTAACGTAAACTTCATTTGTAAAGGTCACAAAGCATATGAATGGGTTGAATGAATTTAAAAGAGACAAAACATACTGTTAGAAGGAGAGGCGTGTAATGCGACGCTGTGGCGCGAGTTGTATAGGATGTTACAAATTTTGTTTCTTCTTTACTTAATTAGTTTGTTTCAAAAAATTTTTTTTATTATGGATTTTGTTTAACGTTAATATTTTTTTATGATTATTTGTATATACGCTGTATATACAGCGTGTCGTTACCATCGCGACAATAAATGAACACACGTCTAACGCTACTTGACAATAATCATAAAAAAATATTAACGTTAAACAAAATCCATAATTAAAAAAGATATTTTTCAATGAAACTAATTAAGTAAAAAAGAAACAAAATTTGTAACATCCTATACAACTACAACTGACTGTATCATACATTCACGAGACTTTTTTATTCGTTGACATTATGCTTCTCCATCTAATATGTTTTGTCCTTTTAAATTCATTCAACCCATTCTTATGCTTTGTGACCTTTACAAATGAACTTTACGTTACAGTTTTATACGTTAGGGTGTTCTAAAATTCTTTGTTTTGGAAAATTTAATAACTCGGGTCTTATTATTACGTAAGGTGATTTTTAATTTGTCCTTTTAATTTTTAACATCTACTTTTCGCAGGAAAATTCACATTCATCACGCAAATGCTCTTCCAGAGCGTTCCGCCTGCCGAACACGAAGACTGATTTCATCTAAGCGTACAAACTCCGAAGCTGATTTATGAGCCCCATCTATTTAGCGGCCACGGTGGACCGAATTGATGACGAAATGGTCATAAATATTCATCAATTTTTAGCAATTGATTAGATGAACGAAAACTTTTAGCGAGTAATGTAAATTTTTTGGAGATAAATGAATAAAAACTCGGTGTTGCGGGATTCGTCTGCGTCTTCTAGTTTCGCGCCCAGACGCTTTGCCAACTAAGCTAAGCGGCCGATGACCTCACGGCATTACAAAGTACATTCAACAATAAACGTTTGTAACGAGAGACGTCGCCACTGCCCTTAAAATTTCAGGATTAATATTTAGTTTTAGTGGTAGTCTCTGCACTTAAAATGAAATTTTATATTGTAAATTTTTTGTGACTATATGAACAAAAACTTTCGGCGCTACGAGATTTGAATCTGCATGTTCTTGATTCATGCCCAGACGCTTCACCAACTAAGCTAAGCGGCCAATGACCTCACGGCCCGAAAATCTTGACGTCTATCTACGCTCGTTCTATCGCATTTTTAGCAATGCTTGTGACGTATAGTGTACACCTATATATGGATGGTAGAAGTATTCTACCCCCTATAATCCATATTCTACCCTCTATATCTACATATATTATATCTACATTCTATATTACATTCATCTATATTCTACCCTCCATAATCCTATAAAGCATACAACACCACAGAATAAGGACTATTTTTCATTTCAATATACAGGGAGGCTTTTCTAAGTGAATCCATTTTTTTTATTAAATTCTAGACAATGTTATACAAAAATTATAAATATTTAAAATCACTCATAATTAATTAAATACATTCATTTGGACTTGAAAAAGTGCGTGATTTATGGGCAACTCATTTATTTTACGCGCGATCATTCATAACTACACGCACACAAGTTCGTTTGTGTGCGTGAACAGTAAAATGTAGGTATTTATGAATGACTACCGCATCGTCAAAAAGTTCTGTTTTTAGGGAATAGTATGTCAAGTTTTTGAAAAATAAAAGCATGTTTTTATGTCAATAAACGATTATACTACCGAGTCTGAACTTTATGTGTAAATTTGGGCACTTTTTGTAAATTCTCCCGTAGAGGGTGTAATTTTCTATAATAACTTCTTTAAAACAAGAAATTATATAGTAGCACATATAATAGTAAAAGATTATTAACGTTCGCATTACTGTCAAGCGTTAAAATTCTTTTTAGCCTACGTCTTTTATAAAAAAAAATTAAACAGTTTTCGCACCCATACCCTTTATTTATTACCAACTAAGCTAAGTGGTCGATAACCTCACGGCTTCATTTATCTACAAAAAGTTTACAATATAAAGTTTCATCTTAAATTCAGAGACTATCACAAAAATAAAAAAATTATTCTAAGACTTTTTTAGAGTTAAACATCAGTTGGTCCTCTGAATATGTGGGGGCGGATTTATGACCATCTAAACGTATCCACATTTGTAAATATAGATTTTAAGATGAAATATATTATGATATATAATGTATAATATATTATGATAATGCTTATGAATAAAGCTGCGTCGTTTTATTTACGTTTTTCTGTTTCAATTCCTGACGACTGTCCCGGACTTAAGCCTGCATAGCACGAGATATAATCTACTCACTATATTTACCACGTATTGACCGTATTAAAATTAGATTATAATTAACCCACCTAGCCAGGCCAGGATTGGCCTGCTTATGTTGGTGATTCAACATAAGCCGGCCAATCCTGGCCTGGCCTAGGTGGCCTAGGTGATCCTAGGCCGCTGGAATTGACTTTGTCCATTCCAGGCCAATAGAAACCTGCCCTGGGCAGCTTTGATTTGAGTAGAGTCATTGATCCCACTTTGAATGCGGCGGTAAGGTGGTGGAGATAGGCCGAATCTATTAAATGTGTCTCTCCCTGTCCTGTAATCGGGACCGAGGTGAAGTAGTGGGGGGAAAAGGAGTACATATTGCTGATGCAGCAAAGACCTTTCTGTTCAAAGTTACAATAAATGAGTGGAATCTGTCTTCGTCCGACATTTTAATTATTGCATAAAAGGGAGCCAACGGACTCCTAAAGGAAGATGATCATCGACACTTGAAGACTTGCAATACGAAAGCAGTATTAGTGTAGTTTGAAGTAGGAGTAACCACTTTTAGAACGACACTAAGTCGTATTTGTATGGAAATATCGCTGGCGACAACAATACATAAGACAACAATTCATACCAAACGAAACACAAATAGATTGTGGAATTCGATTTCCACAATCTATTTGTGTTTCGTTTGGTATGAAAAAAGTTAAAGTCAAAATTTCTTTATTCGATATAGGCTTAATCAAGCTCTTATTGAACGTCCAAAAACTACCACCGCTTTTCACTTAACTAGACCTGACCAAAAAAGAACCGGCAAGAAACCTTGTGGTCTTCTATCTCTTTTTTTTCTGTTTTAATGATACAATTATACAAACTTATTTAAATATAAAATCAGCAGCAGCCAGGGGACTTGCAAGTGCAGAGCAAGAGTCATTTCCACACTTCCTTGCATCAGTGAAATCCTCGACGTCATAATAGAGAGCCTATGCCATTAGGGTAGCTTTTACAAAATGTTTGCATCGATGGTGTTTGTCGCTTTGCTGTGCGTAGTATCGTACTGAAATATCAACATTTATTTATTGGAACAATTCCCATGATAGATGTGATTAAAAATGCTAGGAGATACAAATTTTCAAGGTCAAAAATGAAATATAATTTGTTTCAGCATTATGTTCTCAAATACTTTGTTTAAGGCTGGCAAGGTAGAGATGACACAGTAATTAAAGACGTAGTTGAAGCTACACGCTCTGATGTCAAATCCGTGAACGCTGGTGCCCCATAAGGCTTCGTGCTACTCGTATATTATACCCTGTTCCTTATCCATGTCAACGATTTCTACGTTTATTTTTTATTGGTAACGCCATATATGTAAATAGCGGCCAATATTTCATAAGAATCAAATATGATTGTCGGAATAAACTTGTGTCTGAAATGTTTTGTTAAAATTGTTAGTCAATTTTCTATTTAGTCTATAGAGGTCGCGGAGTTGCAGCGAAGCAAACAACACCATAGTGTCGTAGTCACTACAACTTCTATGTTCTACAATTAACTTTTGATAAGACTGTAAATTCTCTTTGATTCAAAAAATTAACATATAGCAAGAATTAAAAAAATGTACATCTGTATAGTACATTTTTATTTTTTAGCTGGAATTTTTGAAGCTAGATATAATCTGCTGTGCTATAGAGAACTATAGACTAAAATGCCTATAGAGCAGGCGGTATATTATATTATTGTGTTATTCATTAAAAGAAGAATTAAAAACAAGAGTTTATTTTAAAAATTAGATTAAGTTATAAAATTTCACCATGGCTTATCATTACGTTGTCACTGCACAGAAACCTACAGCGGTCACAGCATGTGTTACAGGTAAATTATTACGTTTTTCATGAAGTTTCTGCCTTATACATAGGTTAACTTAAACATTAGAAATATTATAAATGTTGTCTCTATTTAGATATTTAATCGCAGCATTATTTTATTATTTACATCCCTTGTATCTTCACATCGCACTGGGTTTACGTTGTTGTTATATTTATAATGTGCCTTGTTTTTATGGCGGTATCACATACTGAGTGGTTCTTAGAGATTTTATCCACCTTCCTATTATATTACCTATACAATAAAATGAGAAGTAATTTGCGTTTCAGTCGCAAAAGACAAATAACTGAGATGTTATTAGTTACTTATACCAATAATATCTCTTCACATTGTGTATTAGAATGAATTCATTATATTTAACATTTGTTTTGTTGTGCAATTGTGAAATTTTTAAGGTTATAGTTTATTTACTTAATTTATTATGTTATTCAATTTTTATGTAAATATAAACAAAAACACTGATAAAACATGTTAATGAGATAATTAAATATCATCATTACTGATTGTTGGTTGCAGTTAAGCTAAGAAAGGAGGCTCATAATTAAACTGTCCTAAGAGGCTACGACATTCTGTGTAAAGATGCAGAAAAATTAGTTTTCTCAATTGTAGTGTAGGATGACTGTGAAAATGTGCATGATGGATACAGGTGGTTCAGGATGTTTTGTGGCATTCTGTGGGGGAGGCCTGTGTTTTTTATGATAATTAGGTCAAATTTATTCAATCCTTATTTTTTTGTACAAGTTAAGAACTGAATATTGTCCTGTTATAAACTCTTGAATTTCTTTCCATTCAATAAATTTTAACCTATGTTACTTGTTACATAAATAATGTTGTCTTTTGTATATAATTAATTAATCAATATTTAAGGACAGATTTCTTTTTCCACAACATTCTCTAGCCCCAAAACAAGCAATGGTTGTACTTTAGGTACTAAATAACTGATAAACATACCTAAATAATTTCATTTTGTAAATAACTATGTATGCAATGTAAACACAACAATGGAAAATTATATTATTTATCATAATATTTTTCCAATCCCCATTGAATCCACACCTTCTGGTGCAAGAGGCAAGTTCACTACCCACTACGCACAAAGGCCTACAATTGGTTCCACATGTCAAGAAACAAATTCAATTCAATTATTATATATAGTACATATTACTTCTAATATAAATAAAAATGGGACAATGTTTAAATAACATTTGAATAATAGTTATAAACACAGATTTATTTCAATTAAGGCAATTTCACAAGTCCCACGGATCTCAACCTATTGGTGGCCAAAGTGTCCCGCTTGGAGATGTACCTGGTGACACCTGAGGGCTTACGGCCAATGAAAGAAGTTGGCCTCTACGGGAAGGTGGCGAAGATGAAGTTATTTCGACCTCCGGTAAGGAATGTCAATTATATGAGCTCTAATTACACTCCTCTAATTTAAATCCACTTTTTCATTAATTCTGAGTGCTATACAGTCATCATTTTTATTCCAAAGCTTATCTACTGATAAGAGTACTAATACTAACTCCATTTAACTTTTAAACGCTAATTTATGACAATAGGAAGTTTAGGAGACTTTTAATTACAGTTGCCCAAACAGTAATATAAATTAAGGATGTAATAACAATTATCTAAAAGATCTCGTGCATCTTAAGCTATTGAAATGTGATGAATATATATTTTTTATTTCAGTATGAAAAAAAAGATTTAGTGTTCATCCTAACAGCCCGTTACAACGCAATGATACTAGAATGGAGAACTGGACCAAACGGAGATTTAGAAGTGGTCACTAGAGCACATGGTAATGTTGCTGATCGAATCGGAAAACCATCGGAGAATGGCATCCTAGCAGTTATCGATCCACAAGCAAGGGTGATAGGTCTTAGGTTATATGATGGACTATTTAAGATTATACCATTGGATAAGGACTCCACAGAGCTGAAAGCTGCTAGTTTAAGGTAATGATTGCCCTAAACTCATTTTATAATCCTTTATCTTTCTTTTTGTCTTTTAAAAATTATTACAGTTTAAAAGAAAAAACAAAAAAACTTTTTATGTTATATTTTTAGTTTTGTTTTCACTTTCAGATTGGAAGAGTTAAATGTATATGATCTAGAATTTTTGCATGGTTGCTCGAATCCCACCCTCATATTAATACATCAGGACCTCAATGGAAGGCATATAAAAGTAAGAAACATTTGAAATTGCTCACCCCGTGTTGTAAACATTGATTATAATGTTACAAGTAACTCTTAACACATTTTTTTTTACCTTGTAGACCCATGAAATAAATGCAAAAGATAAAGAATTCATGAAGATACCATGGAAACAAGACAATGTGGAAACTGAAGCCTCAATATTGATACCAGTACCGAGCCCTTTAGGTAAACGATAATCATTTCTCCATCGCAGTTTTTTTCACAGGAAAGAGAATAAAAATTTCATTGTTATCCTCTTTGTGCATTTAACATTCTCTTTATTATCCATTCCAGGCGGTGCTATTGTAATTGGCCAGGAGTCCATAGTTTATCATGATGGCCAGAGCTATGTCGCTGTTGCACCTTCTCAGATAAAGGTAACCTTAGAGTAACCAAGTAAAGGTCTATTGTTTGCTCATGAATAAGTTTAATAAAGTGTAAAATGTTATACTTCTTTAGCGTTTCAAAATAAAGTTAAAAATTTTTCATAACTGTGTGAAATAAAAAGACATTAAATGCAATTGATAATGGTTTAATTAAATAACTTGGAATTATAGGGAAATTTAAATGAAATCTTTTGAAGTTTTACATTGGCATAGTTGCAAGGTATTATATGTTTATGGCTTTTTTTTTTTTCTTATTTGTAGTTGACCCCAATCAACTGCTACTGCCGTGTGGACGGTAAAGGCCTTCGCTATCTACTGGGAGATGTAGCTGGCCGGCTGTTCATGCTGATGCTGGAACTGCAGGAGAAGATGGATGGTACACAGGCTGTGAAAGATCTTAAAGTTGAATTACTTGGTGAGTGTTACAGTGATGACAACATGCAACACTGAAGACTTACACTTATGACCACATTCTAAATTCACCAAGACATCAACAACAAGCCGTGATAGCTCAGTGTCCGGGCGCTCGCCTTAATTCAATGTACTCGAGCAACCTGAGTTTGATCCCCGGTGCCGGCACCAATGAAGTTTTTAACTTTAAGTCCTGACTTATCACGTGCTCCGCGGTGAAGGAAAACATCGTGAGGAAACCTGCATATTTTCGAAATAATAACAAAAAAAAAATATTTCGAATATATGTGAAGTCCGCCAATCCGCAGTGGGGCCGCGTGGACTATGCCCTGATACCCTCTGTATAGAGGAGGCCTTTGCCCAGCAGTGGGACATGTATAGGCTGTTACTTTTTACAACAACAAGACAAGAATCTTTGATGTAAAATTTGACGATTCATAAGAGCGCGCAAGCGTCTATTTGAATAAATATATTTTTGATTTTGATTTTGATTTTGACATGAAATTGGCCATTGGTTATAAATAAAACAAACTGTGTGTGTCTCTATGAGAGTATAGTAAATTAATATTTTCATCGCAATCAGAGCCAATTTCATTTGTTTGTATTATAGACCTTGTATGGTTTGGTACCAGCTTGAACTTCAGATACATTGTGTTTGTTTTGCACAATACTAGTAATTATACAGCGTGTCGTTACCATCGCGACAATAAATGAACACAAATATAGGAGATTACTTTTTAAAGTTGTATTAAACATTTAAATTCTTTAAACATCAATATTTACAGAGTTATTAAATTTTCCAAAACAAAGAATTTTAGAACACCCTTACCTATAAAAGCGTAACGTAAAGTTCATTTGTAAAGGTCACAAAGCATATGAATGGGTTGAATGAATTTAAAAGAGACAAAATATACTGTTAGAAGGAGAGGCTTGTAATGCGACGCTGTGGCGCGAGTTGTATAGGATGTTACAAATTTTGTTTCTTTTTTACTTAATTAGTTTGTTTGAAAAATATTTTTTTTTAATTATGGATTTTCTTTAACGTTAATATTTTTTTATGATTATTGGCAAGTAGCGTTTGACGTGTGTTCATTTATTGTCGCGATGGTAACGACACGCTGTATATTATAAACAAATACTATACTACTGAGGTAAATAGAGCTTTATTTCGAGACGCCCGAGTCAGAACCAAACAACATGGCTACGCCTTCTGCTGGTGTGCTCAGGGTGCCATCTACGTCAGGCAACGTGAAGGAAAACCAGCCTTACTTATACGATCCTACAAAGACCTGGATAATATTGTTGCTCCTCCTCTGCCTCATAATTCTGGTTAAATATGTTGTATATTCTATTTCCTGTACTAAAAATAGAGAGCCACAGTTTAGTCATACGTCTTCTATCGATAATGACTCAAGAAATATATTCACCGATGAACTGGGTACAGAACTAGATTCGATAAAAATTAAGTGTGTTACAGTAAGTGATTCTGCTAAGATTAGAGAATTTATTGCACCAAACCATAATTTTAAATTACTTTCGTTAAACATAAGGAGCATCCAAAAGAACTTCGATACTTTACAAGTAGCTTTGCAGCGAATAGGTGTTCCTTTTGACATGTTAATCTTAACCGAATGCTGGCTTCATGAATCATTGATTGTTCCGCAATTGCCAGGTTACACCTCGTACCAAACAACAAAACATTTAAATCAGAATAGTGGAGTAGTTATATATGTAAAAGAAATCTGGAACCCAGTTGTATCTGAGCCATCAATAGACGATGCTGTGTGCTTGACAATTATGATTCCCGAAATTATCCACGTACTCGGTATATACCGATCCCCATCTGTCATACATATTGAATGTTTTCTTTCTACTTTGGAAACATATATAAGTGGAATTGATAAAAATAACATGCCATTTGCTCTTGTTGGTGATATAAACATAAATATTATGAGTACTGCAAGCAACCCACAAAGCTCCGAGTATCAGTGCTTCATGGCCGAACAAGGTCTTTACCCCGCGATATTGCAACCTACAAGAGAATCTTCATGCCTTGATCATATTTATGTCAAAGGGGTAAATTATCAGGACGTAGTTGGCATTATATGTCAATCTGATATAACAGACCACTATCCAGTTGTAGCTAGCATGAGAATACACAATTCAAAACACCATTCTTCCAATCGTTTTATAATTAAAAGGGATTTCGCAGCAATTAAGAAAGCTCTAAATGAAGTTGACTGGTCGGTTGTTTGCAATATTGATGATGTTAATAAGGCAAATGATATATTCACCAGTGTATTTGCAGGTATCGTCTCCAAATTTTCAAAAGAAGTTAAAATTAGCAGAAGCAGGCACAACTTGAAGCCTTGGATAACTCCAGGGTTAATGAGATGTATGAGAGTTCGCGACCAGTTACACGTAAATTCAAAAAAAGATCCCGGCAACAAAATCCTTCGGATGACATATACGCGTTATCATAATTTTTTCACAACTCTCTTACGTAAACTAAAGCAGGAGTACGAGGATACACAACTAAGCACAAATAAAAAGAATCCCCGAAAACTATGGAAAGCTATTAAAGATATATGCAATCTTACTCGCCCGAATAAACCACCGAGTGACCTTCTAACATTGCGAAGCTGTCAAAGCATGCAGCAATCCGCGGATTATACAAATACTCACTTTGCGACCGTAGGTCAAAAATTAGCCGCCAAAATCCTCTCAAATCTGAATAAGAGTGAGATAGACCTTGCAACAGAAGTTAAAATGTGTAATCCACCCGTTGATTCATTTTTCATTGTTCCAACAGATAATAAAGAAGTCGATAAGCTAATTAGCAATTTGGAAAATGGAAAAGCCCCTGGTATTGATGGTTTTGGAAACGCATTAGTAAAATATTCTAAAAATGAGATTATAACACCACTTACTCATATACTGAATTTAAGTCTTTCCAGTGGTGTCTTTCCACATAAATGGAAAATCGCTTCAATCTGTCCAATTTATAAAAGTGGGCCAAGGGACTTCGTGGAGAGCTACAGACCGATCTCATTATTGGGAACCTTCTCCAAAATTCTTGAAAAACTTGTAAATAAACGTCTTATAAGCTATCTTGAATCCAAAAATTTAATTTCAAAAAAACAGTTCGGCTTTCGCAAAGGAAAAAGCACGGAAGATGCGATCACATTACTTCTCAATACAGTTTCATCGTATCTGGATAAAAAACAATGTTGTGTTGGTGTGTTTTTGGACCTGGCAAAGGCCTTCGACACTGTCTCCATTCCCATTCTCCTGAATAAACTTGAGGGCACGGGAATCCGAGGAGTTGCCTTAAGTTGGTTCAGAAGCTACTTAACAGAACGGAGACAGTGTGTTAAGATAGACCAGATGATAAGCTCTGAACAATATATACACTTTGGGGTTCCTCAGGGTAGTATTCTGGGACCTACGTTATTTCTCCTCTATATCAATAGCATTCACGAAGTTTCAATAGAAAATGCCACGATTATTTGTTATGCCGACGACACGGCTGTGGTTTTCCACGGATCCTCTTGGTCTTCTGTATGTTCTACTACTGAGCAAGGCATGACTCTTATTTCACAATGGCTTGAGCAAAACCTCCTAACATTAAACAAAAAGAAAACAGTGTATTTATGTTTCCATAAAACAGGTGCCTCAGCACCGGGTGTAACAAATATCAAATTACATTACCGATCGTGCCCTAGACTAACTTGCTCATGTGAGTCGCTGATACGTACAAAGAGCTTAAAGTATCTAGGAGTCCATATCGATGAAAACCTTTCATTTAAAATACATATTGAATCTCTCTCGGCAAGAATTAGAAAGATTATTACAGTTATGAGAGGTCTAAGAGATGTAGCAAAGCGAAACACCCTTAAGACAGTTTACTATGCGCTGTGTCAATCTATTATAACATATTGTATAACATGCTGGGGAAGTGCTGCTAAAACCTTTATGATTCAGGCTGAGAGAGCACAAAGATCAGTCCTGAAAGTTATGCTTAAAAAGCCGTATAGATACTCCACGGATAAATTGTACAAAGAAGCTGAAGTACTCAGTGTAAGGAAATTGTATATATTAAAAACTACACTATTGATGCACCGTTCCATTTTATCCTCTCCTAGTAGCTACGAATATTTATTGAGTCGAAGACATTACAGGTTGAAAACGCCAGTGGTAAATACTGTATTCGCCCAACGTTTTGGTGATTTTGCGAGAACCTATGTCTTCAACAAAGTAGCTAAACATTGTGACATTAAAAACAAGAGATCACGTGAGGTTAAGAATATTGTGTATGATTGGCTAGCTTCACTGTCCTACGACCAACTTGAGGATATCTTGAATATTGCGTAACACCTAAATAGGTGTTACGCAATATTCAAGATATAGAATAGGCAAGAAACTTTCTTTGTTTACTGTCCTCATTAATTGTACATTATTTTTTTTCATTTTTATTTCAAGTGTTGTTTTTTATTTTTCTATATAACATGTAGTAAAACTCAATGTCTGCTTGATGAAAAATGTATATGTAAAGCAATATGGTCTCCTCGATACAGGCTTGCCTAGTGAGGAGACAACAGATATTACGTTTATACATCAAAAAGTGTCAGCAAATTGTACTTCAGGAAAGTTTTGTATGTTATTTATAAGTCAAATTTTTTTTTTTTTTTTCTAACTTGTAGTGCTTTTGCTGTAATAAAATATTATTATTATTATTATTATTATTAAATATGACCCTACCGCAACGAAACTGAGGCACTCAAATGTCGCCAATTGTTGAATTAGTTTCCAATTCTATAAAGTTCTCTTTAATCTCTCTAAAAGTACTCTTTCCATATCATACATCCAATATCATCTGTCATATTCACTTACATAATTGGCGTATAATAATAAGCGGAAAAAACCTTTAAACGCCGCGCAGTATTGACATGCGTCGTCTTTATTACAAAAATCATTGATATTGATATCTCCAGATAAAATTTTATGAAATAATATAAATTAAATATGTAAACTCTTCAATCAAACAAAACTCCAATTCCATCTTCACGTCTATGGTGGCATTGAGGAACCTACACTGACCATTGTTAACACAATATTCCAGGAGAGATCCCCATACCAGAGTGCATGACCTACCTGGACAACGGCGTGGTCTTCATCGGGTCCCGGCTTGGGGACTCTGCGTTGGTGCGCCTTTCAGCGACCAGGGACGAGTCCAGCCAGTACGTGCAGCCGATGGAGAGCTTCACCAGCCTCGCGCCCATCGTGGACATGTGCCTGGTGGATCTGGAACGCCAGGGTCAGAACCAACTCATCACATGCTCAGGTACGGGGATATAAAAATTTTTTGCAACAAATAAATCATGAAATGAAGGTCATAATCTAGGTATAGATAGGGTAGGTCATATTATAGGTAAAGATTGCATTTTAAATAAGATGTTAATCCAATTAATTGACTTCAGAAAAACCTTCAACTCTCTTTAAATACTTTTATTACATCGTGTGGAAACCTGCATATTTTTGGAATAATAATAACAACAAAAATAATAATTTGAAGTTATAAGAGTCGCGTGGTGGTCTGGTGGTGGGCTTTTACTTTGCTTTTTTGGGGTAGAAAAATAAACGAGTGTTACAAAATAGTATTATAAGGCCGGTGGTCTTTGGGCTTTTACTTTTACTTTGCTTTTTTGGGGTAGAAAAATAAACGAGTGTTACAAAATGATTTAGTATTGGGCCGTATTTTGGTTAATCTATTGATATTGATCAGAGTTGATCTGACGGTAATAAATTTTTCCTCAGGCGCGTTCAAGATGGGCTCGCTGCGCATCATCAGGAATGGCATTGGCATCCAGGAGCAGGCGTCCATCGACCTGCCAGGCATCAAGGGCATGTGGCCGCTCACCCTGGCGCAGGACTCGCCCTACCACGACACCCTCGTGCTGGCCTTCGTTGGCCAGACCAGGTGACGAGCGACCACTTTGTTGCAACCCTTCATTTAATTTTATTTTATGTTGTTTTTAATAGTACTTTTAACCTTTGAAAGTTTCATCTTGAGTGCAGAGAATTGCACTAAAAATGCAAATGAATCTTAAAACTATTATAAAGATTTCTTTTGTTAATACAAATAGTACACTATGACACTACACACAAGTAATGTACGGATTTTTATCATTTTAAACTTGAACGAAATACCTAAATTAGTTTTATTTAAGAAAAAATATTAAATAGTTTATTGTTGTTACTTTAGTATTAATTAATTTGCAGAGTATTAACACTAAATGGAGAGGAGGTAGAGGAGACGGAAATCAAGGGATTCCTGTCAGACCGTCAGACTTTCTACACTGGGAATGTCTGTCATGATCAACTCATACAAGTGGGTATAACAGAAAACTAGTAAGCAACTAAGTAATAATGGCGTAATTGGCATAGTTTTTTTTATGTGATAACCGCCGCTCATTGACATTTGCAAGACCCGATAAGAGGTAGATTTTAGACATTGCCACCTTATAATAAAGTGGGCCCAGCTACCACACTCACCAAACGAAACGCATAAGGGTAACACTTCCACTTCGTGCCGGTCTTCTGTGAGGTCGCGGTACTTCCCCGGACGGACCCACCCATTCGTGCAACAGCCGTAGCTGTTGTGTGGCATTGTCACAGTTGGGTGTTGTGGGCTAGAAACGGGCGCCAGAGGGTGTGGGTTCTAACCCCACTACTGGAAAAGTATTGTGTGATGAACTCAGTGTTTTTCCAGCGTCTGGGTGTTTATATATGTATATAATGTGTTATTTACAAAGGAAAATTATGTTTAAGTATGTTTAATAGTTGTCTAGTATCAGCAACGCTTAGTTTGGGTCTAGAGAATGTTGTGTGTTGTTATTTACAGAAGTCCCAAACGAAGCAAATGTTTATGTAACCGATGACATGTTTATTTAAAAAAAAATATTTACAAAAAACGCCCGCTGAGTTTCTTCCGCCGGTTTCTCTCAGTACAGTGGCTTCTTTTCCGAACCGGTAAGCGAGTGTTTTGAAACCACTATGTTAAACGAATAAGGAGAACCATTCCAATACGATGTTTTTTTTTTGTTTTTTTTATTTTGCCAAACGAAGACGGTTCACTAAGTACATACCGCCGCCATGGACCGGTACACCTTACATATGCGTTGACAATCACCTCACTCACCAAACGAAACGCGAAAGTATTTGTTATACTTGCACTTGACGGCGGTCTTCTGTGAGGTCGTGGTTCTTACCCGGACGAGCCTGCCCATTCGTGCAACAGCAGGAGCTGGTGCTTGGCTCTACCGCTGATGCGTGCGGCGCAGGTGACGGACGAGGGCGTGCGGCTGGTGGGGCGGGGCGGGGGCGGGGCCGGGGGCGGGTGGGCGCTGGCGGCGCAGTGGCGGGTGGGGGGCGCGCGAGGGCTGTCCGTGGTGGCGTGCAGCGGCGCGCGCGTCGTGGCGGCGGCCGGGCCGCGCCTCTACCTGCTGGCCGTGGCCGACGCGCGCCTCGACCTGCTCGCGTGAGTCGATAGGGGGCGCGCGAGTGCAACCCTCTGGTGTGGAACCGTCTGTCTGCCCCTCTCTCGCGGACCGCTATTACGGAAACTATAAAACGGAATAGACATACAGGGAGGCTTTTTGAGAAGTGCCCAAATTTACACAGGAGTTCAGACTCGGTAGTGTAATCGTTTATTGAAATAAAAAACAAAGTTTTTTTTTTTTTTTTTTTAAATTGCCTTTTGCCATTCTATTCCCTAAAAAACAGAGCGTGTTGACAATGCGGTAGTTATTCATAAATACCTAAATTTTACTGTGCACGAACTTGTGTGCGTGTTGGTTATGAATGAGCGCGCGTAAAATAAATGAGTTGAGTGTAAATCACGCACTTTTTGAGATAAGTTCAAATAAATGTTATTAATTACTTACGAGTGATTTTAATTATTTATCATTTTTATAGCACTATTTAAATCTAAAATTTAATTAAAAAAAATGGATACACTTAGAAAAGCCACCCTGTATATCTAAGTCGGGCTCCCGTACGTCGGACATGTTTTTTGGTAGATTTTATTAAATAATTGTGCCGGTTTTTATAGACGCTCTTTTTAGAATTATCGCTGCAAAGCAATATTCGAAATTGTTCATATTCTGTAATGTAAGGTACGTAAAAATAGTACAAACTCTGGCAATCAGCTATCTAGCTTAGCGATTAAAGAGTCTAGGCGTGAATCCGGAAGACTTGGATTCGATTCGCACAGTGTCGATAAACTTTTCGTTCGTTTGCTCAACAAATTATACTATCTCTTCTTAAGAGAGGAAGTTAGCACTATAATAAAATTAAAACTATATTTGTAGTTGAAATCCATGTCTGTCATAAATCACACACAATAGACAGTGCTTTAATGTTGAAATGGTATTTATTATGGAGGATAGGTGATGATTTAATAATGAAAAGATAATAATGCAGTATAATTATGAATTGAACGGCTCAAAATAAAACCGATTCACAGTCAGCCATGACATCTGTTGTTCGACAGGGAGGTGTGCATGGAGGAGGAAGTGGCCTGCCTAGACTTGGGCCCCGGCGGTGACGAGGCGCTTCTGGGCGTAGGCCTTTGGACCGACATCTCGGTACGGGTGCTACGCTTGCCGGATCTACGCGAGCTACACGCTGAGAAGCTGTCCGGAGGTAACTTATAATTACTTACTAAACCGAGAAAAGCTGTCAAGTGACGGGGGAAAGTGGAAACCTATCACTATCACCATGGATATCGGTTACACCTGAAGGGATACAGATGCCTTTAATTACAGCATGACCCATCTAAAAAAAACAAATTTGTGTCCTCTTCCCCAAGCGCAAACAGTGTCTGACCAAATACTTCACAGCCGTTCAATACTGCCAAGGAAATATTAGTGTTTCATAGAAGACCAGCATTTACAAAAGTATTTATACTTTGACTTCTACGTGTGGTGAGTGTAGTAACCGGAGTTCCACAGTCAGGGGTTGACTCGCTTGCAGCATTTAGTTTATTTATTTATTTTATTTATTTATTTGTTTATTCATCATCAACAAAGTACACACTTTTCAACAGACAGTAGAGACAAAACCAAAAAACATTTACAAAACTAAATGTGAAATACGAGCATTATAATAATACAAACATTAAACTAAAGCTACACTACAGAAAAAAAGCAGTATAAAAAGTACGTTACTAAAAAAAAATATGTTAGTTGCGTTTAAAATATATTTCCTGGGAGAAATTGCCACCTTAACAATAACACTATGTTTCCTGTATGTCCTTGTCAGCAATAATGTATGTACTACACTCTACAGTCTGATTAGATTTTGTTGGGAATCGAGCCTTAGCCCGATCAGTGATCAGTGGGGGGCCGTTCGCAGAGATCATCCCGCGCTCGCTGCTCATCAGCGAGCTGGAGGGCGTGTGCTACCTGCTGTGCGCCCTGGGCGACGGCTCCATGTTCTACTTCACGCTGGACCGCGGCAGCGGCGCGCTGGCCAACCGCAAGAGGGTCACCCTCGGCACCCAGCCCACCGTGCTGCGCAGCTTCAGGTCGGAGAGCACCCACTACTTGCGCAACCATTGTTCCTTTGCCTACGAAACTGCCACCTGAAGCGGAACCAACTTTTGTGTACAGGGCATTTGAGTGTGCACAATTACGTGGGGTGTCTGCGCTTAAATATTGTTAAATAATTAAAGATTATAAGGGCCAACGTAGTACAATACTTTAGTGCGTCTATGAAATTTGCCCAGTACACGGTTTATCAAAAATCGGAGGAGCCACTTGGCCGGGGAAATTTTGTTCTCTTTTCCAGCGCGATCTAATTTAGTTCCTGTCTCACTCGCACAATACGTTGACGTACAGCCATGAGCAAATCGCAATTACATTTAATAAACTTGTCCATTTGACTCCGTGGCGCAGTCGCCAAGGTGTTGGCTTCGACGTCGGGGGTCGTGGGTTCGATTCCTACACGGGACAACTATTTGCGTGACTCACAGATAGTTGTTTCGCAACTTATGTTTGCAAAACGTCCTTACAACACAGGATAATGTAATCCTAAAGTAAGGGCAATGTTTTTAAAAAACATTGTAACAAAAACAACGTGTAGCGTTCGTGTGCACCAAAGGAATTTTTTTTTGTAGTTTTGTTAAGCCGTACACGCGGTAACTTTGATGCATATTATCCATATCGCAAAGATATCACTTGGTACCCCATTCGGAAGCAATTTAAGTCCTGCGCGGTCTTACAAGTGAAGATATATATATACAAAAATATATATATCTTCGTAATTAATAAATACATATTTAATCCACATCCTGGGTTGATAGTTGACAACTCATCAGGCATTAAGTCAGTCATTACGTTTTTATTTAAGGTTTGTCAATAAATCTTAGATAAATGAATTAACTGCGTTGAAATCGCTGCCCAACGAACGCCGTTTGTATATTGTATATTACACAGATCACTGTCCACGACGAACATCTTCGCGTGCTCCGACCGGCCCACGGTGATATTCTCCTCCAACCACAAGCTGGTCTTCTCCAACGTGAACCTGAAGGAGGTCACGCACATGTGCTCGCTCAACGCGCAGGCCTACCCGGACAGGTGAGACGCGATTTGCGATTTCCGACCTTACTCACAACGTAATAGAGATCGAAATTCGGAAATCATACATGATACGCATGAATAATAAATATTTCGGGATGTATCGTTACACAACGCTATCTAACTGATAAACATAAATTGATAAAACATTAATAACATTGTAAATAAATACATATAAATATGTACCCGGACTCTAGTTCAACACATAACATTTGTTCAATGGTGGGGATCGAACCCACACCCTCTGGCGCAAGAGTGTAACTATTCACTACGCCAACACGGTCGTAACACTTCTAAACTTCATGAAACAATCCTTAGTGCTATCGGAATAAAGATCGAATTAGAGATGCTGTGCCACTTTCGACCTTGCGCACAAAAGAATAGATACTGAACTCGACTTTAAACATAATTATGGACTTCTTCCATGATTCCAACAAACCTCAGTGTTATCGGAACGAAGACCTAATTCAAAATCAAAATCAAAAATATATTTATTCACATAGACGCTTGCGCGTTCTTATGAAATGTCAAAAATTTTACATAAAAATTAATACTTCGTAAGTTACCACCGGTTCGGAAAGCAGTTTCTGTTGAGAAGAAACCGGCAAGAAACTCAACAGTTGCTCTTTTTTAAAACGATTAGTTTACAATAGAACAAGTATGTCATTTTAGCCTACGCGAGTATCAACAGCATTAACCCCACACATTGGCGTCGTCAAGATATTCTGCAATGGTATAATATGCCTTACCCATAAGTTCGCTTTTAATTTTGCGTTTAAATTCATCTAGTGGCAGACTTAATACCGATTGTGGGATTTTATTATAATTGGTAAAGTAACAGCCTAAAAATGTCCCACTGCTGGGAAAAAGCCTCCTATACGTAGAGGGTATTAGGGCACTGTCCACCACACGACTCCGCTGCGAATTGACGGATTTAAAATGTCTTTCAAATATTTTTCTTGATATTATTTCTAAAACATGCAGGCTCACGATATTTTCCTCCACCGCGGAGCACGTGATAAGTCGGCACTTAAAATTAATAATTCCATTGGTGCCGGCGCCGGGGATCGAACTCGGGTTGCTCGAGTAATTAAGAAGAAGAAACGTTTATTCACGGTCTAAAAACAAATGAACACATACAAAACTTAAAAATAATAATGTAACCATACAGAAACTTAAAATAAATGTAAACATAAAAATAAGCAAACAAAATAACAACAGTAAGTGAAGGTCTGTGTAGCAGCAATAAGACCGTGAAACGGACGGGACTCGGTAAAAGTCGAGATACAGTAACTAAAATTTGTTCTGATCCCGACACCGGTTTTCAGTCCGGCCCGCACTTCGAGACAACTCGGACGGCTGCGACAGTGAACTTGCAAAAAGTAGCTACAGCGCAGTATAGCGAATTTTTTTTAATATTTAATATATTTAATATTTTATTTTAGGACACATTTATTACACAACATTCTCTAGTCCCAAACTAAGCAACGCTTGTACTATGGATACTAGAAAACTGATAGACATACGTAAACATACTTTTCTTTTGTAAATAAATACACATTATACATATATAAACACACCAGACACCAGAAAAACACTATGATCATTACACAATATTTTTCCAGTAGTGGAGATCGAACCCACACCCTCTGGCGCAGAAGGCAGGTACACTACCGACTACGCCATTCGGGTCGACTTAGTTGTTTTTGTTTGAACCTTTCATTCATTTGAAGCGAGCGCCGTGATAGCTCGTTGAGAATGAGCTATCACGGCTGTTAATCGTGATTGAGACGTCAAACCGGGTGGTTCCAGCTTGGCGTTGGCAACGGACAGCACGGTGACCATCGGCACCATAGACGAGATCCAGAAGCTGCACATACGGACCGTCCCGCTGGGCGAGACGCCGCGGCGGATCGCCTACCAAGAGGCCTCGCAGGTGAACTCCGCCATTTTTAGTGTTATTTATTACGAAAAAACCACAACGCTGCCCTAGTTGTTTTCTTTGGCCACTTTATACTTAAGAACCCATAGCAGACAAGGGACGTTTGCTTAATCCGGCACTGGGGAGTGTATGCCGATAGGAATATACAACAGCTCTTCTTCCGGAATTGAGATCGCGAAAGTATTGACAGTCGAGTCATTAATTTAGTTATTTAAGCATAACGTTTTATTTGGTTTTATATACCTACAAAGAAACTAATATTTTTACCCCTTTAATCGGTAGGAAAACCGTTGTGCCTAATGTTATAATGTATCTCATCTAATAAAATTATAAGAACCGTTTCGTGCGCCAGACATTCGGCGTGACACATTCCTTTCAAGTCGAAGCGTAAGCCTAAAGGAAAGTCCGCAGGCATTTTCTTTTTCATTCAAATTTAAGCGTAAAGGCCCATTTACACGATGCCATTTTCTTGTACATACAAGAGCAATAATTGAATGCAATAAATTGCGCGCAATAATTGTTAAGACCATTTGTTGTTTAGACCATGCAACTCATTTATTGCTTCAATTTAATTGTATACAACAGGCAAGAAACTGGCACCGTGCAAATGGGCCTTAAGTCGCTATGGAAGTTCACGTTTTCGACGGTAGGCGTTTCAGCGTGATACGCGAGCGTAGTCCTGTCACACTTCACTGTACGAGGCCCGTGTCGTTGAGGTGGTTGGTGTTTTGGTGGCAGACGTTCGGCGTGATCACGATGCGCGTGGACAAGGTGGAGTGGGCGGGCGGGGCGGGCGGGGCGGGCGGCGGCGGCGCGCCGGTGGCCCCCCGCCCGTCCGCCTCCACGGCCGCGGCCAGCACGAGCGGCGCGCCGCCGCAGCCGCCCAAGCACGCGCCCAGCGCGCTCGACCTCGAGGTGCACAACCTGCTCGTGCTCGACCACCACACCTTCGAGGGTGAGCGCTCTGTTGCTCGTCTGTGTACAAGTGCGGCACGCGTTCGAGCGTCGGCGGGTACATGTACGCAGTCTGTCGCTCGTTTGTGTACAAGTACGTCACGCGTTCGAGGGTCGCCGGGTACATGTACACACTTTGTTCAGAGAGTGCGATGACGTAAGATCGTTCCATGTTGCGACCACGATGGCCAGACCACCACACCTTCGACTTTGTTCAGAGAGAACGATCACGTAACATCGTTGGAAGTTGTGACGTGTACCACAATGCCCAAACCACCACACATTCGAGGATTAAACGATAGATATTATATATACTGTGATAATTCACCACTTAAAATTATCAATTTCTGGAGGAAACGTCTTCCGAGCAGTGGGATACTTTAGGCTGTTACTTTACTTTACTTTCATAGCAACTGTTTTCCAATAAAATCAACCATCGCTCCCCACGGCGAGGTCGGTCACAGACGTGGTCCTTTTAGCCGGATGTCTCGTTCCCCCCAGTGCTGCACGCGCACCAGCTGATGACGAGCGAGTTCGCCATGTCGCTGGTCTCGTGCAAGCTGGGCGACGACCCCAACCACTACTACGCCGTGGGCACGGCCATCCTCAACCCCGAGGAGTCGGAGCCCAAGCAGGTACTGCCCGAGGGTTACACTTCCGCGTCTCATGAGTGAGGTGGCCGCGGCCAACTTTATCTATACAGCGTGTCGTTACCATCGCGACAATAAATGAACATACGTCTAACGCTACTTGCCAATAATAATAAAAAAATATTAACGTTAAGCAAAATCCATAATTAAAAAAAAATATTTTTCAAACAAACTAATTAAGTGAAAACGAAACAAAATTTGTAACACACTATACAACTCGCGCCACAGCGTCGCATTACAAGCCTCTCCTTCTAACAGTATGTTTTGTCTCTTTTAAATTCATTCAACCCATTCATATGCTTTGTGACCTTTACAAATGAACTTTACGTTACAGTTTTATAGGTAAGGGTGTTCTAAAATTATTTGTTTTGGAAAATTCAATAACTCTGTAAATATTGATGTTTAAAGAATTTTAAATTTTTAATACAACTTTAAAATGTTATCCCCTATATGTGTGTTCATTTATTGTCGCGATAGTAAAGACACGCTGTATAGGTGGCGACGCATTTGCAACTGTACGGTTTTCAAATACATTATGTATCTAATTCTTCAAGTTAATTTCTATTTTGAATGATTAAAATACGCCGAGCGCACCTGAGCGTCCTTGAAAAAATGACTAATTCTAAAACATGCGAAAACTGCCGCATTGGGGTCGTATGGCGGACGTTGCCCAGTATTGGGACACATTAGAAGCTGCTGTTTCACTTTACTCACACAAATGATTGTACACCACCCCTACAAGGCATTGTCTATATCCGAGCCGTAAGTCTGTGGTTCAAAAATTAATCTAAGAAATACTTACACCGGTTAATTCTACACCAGGGCAGGATATTGCTGTTCCACTGGTCAGAGGGCAGACTGGCGCAGGTCGCCGAGAAGGAGATAAAGGGCGGCTGTTACACACTGGTCGAGTTCAACGGGAAACTGCTGGCGTCGATCAACAGCACGGTAAGATCCTCCGGTGCCCAAGAGTTGGGACGGTAGACAGAAGCCCACGGTGGAGTTACGCCGTAGATGGGTTTGGCGCACGTGAAACTGGCGGTAAATGGTAACTGACGCCTACCGTCCTGGGGAAAACCTGTGGATTACTCGTTCCATATGGAAATCGAACCCGTGACTCGTATTGTATCGTATTTGCTGAGCCATTGGCGCTGGGGCCAATGGCTCAGCAAATACGTCACTGAGTGTAACAACCTTAATGATAGTTGCGATGTATGCGCATTCGATCCGTAGATTATTATAAGCTAAACAGGGCCAAGTAAGGTTTCCAAGAGCTTGATAATACCTAAGCAGATTTTTTTTTTATTTTGATTTTTAGTTTAATCTTTTATTTTAAAACATTTTACATTATTATATTACATATTAGACATTTTACAAACATAAATTTCACGTTAGACAAACACCCAGATGCGAAACAACTATCTGTGGGTCGCACAAATAGTTGTCCCGTGTGGGAATCGAACCCACGACCCCCGACGCCGAAGCCGATACCTCGGCAGCTGCGCCACGGAGTCATCAACAGATCATCAGCACAGAGGCGCAAAATGACGAAAGCACGCATGTCGACATGACATGCGTGCCGTTCGTAGTGTGCGATTCGCCCCGTGACGCGTGTGCCGTGTGTACGGTGCTTGGTTTCACCGTACTAGCGTGTACAGCCATAGTTAAGCTAGCGATGATAGCCTAGCCTGCTTAAGCTAAGCTAGACCGACGAAGGGCAAATAATTTACAGTGTTACAATTTCTAGAAAAAGTACGAAAATATCGTCGCCGCTGTGGGAATCGAACCCACGTCTACGTCTATCTAGTTACGTAGATAAAAAACGTTAAGATTTTCGTCGGTGTGGCAGTCAGCCGTTTAGCTCAGTGGCTAGAGCGTCAGGCCGCGAATGCCGAAGACGTGGGTTCGATTCCCAAAGCGGCGACAATCTTTTCGTACTTTTTCTACAAATTTTAATGTTCAATCTTAGGTGCAGAGATTAGCACTATAATAAATTTAAAATACTTTACTTGTTTATTGTAATTTGGCATGTCTTTTATGTAATCTGTTGTAATGTATATGACTGTTATAAATGGAAGGTAGTGTAGACTTCAACTACAACAGCGCTGGTATATGTAATGTTTTTTTTTTACTCAAATGTAACATACATAATATAAATGTATAAAATTATGTATTATTGGAATATTTTTTTTTAGTTCCAGTAATTATCAATAGACTAATGATTGCATAAATCTTGGTATTAAATTTGATTTACAATACCAGCTAACTAGATTGATGATATTACGTGTCCCACATTATCTATGCTACGGCAGCGAAATATCAGGTGTTGAAGAAATCGGTTTCGTAGTCTAGTCAACAATTTCAAAAACGTGTTAAATAGATATAAAGCTCCTAAAAATATGTGCGATAGCTCATTCGATTCGGAATGACGCCTAGAAAAATTTTTTTAAGGGTTTATTAGCACATAAAAAATTGCGATTGTTATTAACAAAATAAGATTTAAAAAAAGGGTATTTAGTTTTTTGTTAATAATTTCTAAAATAATGATATTTAATGAATTGTGGAAAGAGATCCTGAAAGAAAGGAAATTTCCAATAAAAAAGTCCCGACTCCCGGAATTCTATCTCTATTATTTATATTTTTTTTTAACGCTGAAAATAGTGCTCCGCGAGGTCGTTACGGCATAGGCGCGCCGTCTAAAAAGCCGGTATATCACCTAAAATAATTTTTTTATAGTATTAAATAACAATTTAAAAATTTGAATAAATTATGGTGTAATCTAGACACTTAAACGAAAAAAATCTCTGTGGGAAAAAAAAATTGTTAATTAACTAATTTTTTTCCAATCTCTGCTTTTAAAAATCGAATATGAGAGTAAATTTCGCCGCAAAAAGAAATGTTATAATAGCTCGGTCGGTAATCGGGCGGCCCCAAAACAGACGGCAGTGGTTCGTATCATGATCATTTACACTTATTTTTTTTACTTTTGTTTCTATACCAGATCATTTTCTTTTTTTTTTATTTTTTTTATTTCCAAAATACATGATTTACCAAAAAAAAACGAGCAAAGCTCGGCCCTCCAGGTGCTGTATCACTAATATGACCAACGCAGTTGAAAGAAAATCCGCGATGCATTTTGCAAGTTGTATGCATCGCTAATATAACCAATAAAGTCGAAAGCAATTCCAGGATGCCATTTTGCAAGTTGAATGCATCATTAATATGACAAATACAGTCGAAAGCAATTCTGCGATGCCTTTTTGCAAGTTGTATGCATCACTAATATGACCAATACAGTCGAAAGAAATTCCTCGATGTCTTTTTGCAAGTTGTATGCATCACTAATATGACCAATGCAGTCGAAAGCAATTCTGCGATGCCTTTTTGCAAGTCGTATTCATCACTAATATGACAAATACAGTCGAAAGCAATTCCGCGATGCCTTTTTGCAAGTTGTATGCATCACAAATATTACGAATACAGTCGAAAGCAATTCCTCGAAGCCTTTATGCAAGATCAGTAATATGACTGCTACAGTCGAAAGCAATTTTACGATGCCTTATTTTAAGTTGTATGCATCACTAAAATGACCAATACAGTCGAAAGCAATTCTGCGATGCCTTTTGCAAGTTGTATCCATCACTAATATGACCGAACACAGCCGAAAGCAATTCCGCGATGCCTTTTTGCAAGTCGTATGCATCACTAATATGACCAATAGAGTCGAAAACAATCCCGCGGTGCCTTTTTGCAAGTTGTTTGCATCACTAATATGACTAATGCAGTCGAAAGCAATTCTGCGATGCCTTTTTGCAAGTCGTATGCATCACTAATATGACAAATACAATAGAAAGCAATTGCGCGATGCCTTTTTGCAAGTCGTATGCATCACTAATATGACAAATACAGCCGAAAGTAATTCCGCGATGCCTTTTTGCAAGTTGTATGCATCACTAATATGACCAATGCAGTCGAAAGCAATTCTGCGATGCCTTTTTGCAAGTCGTATTCATCACTAATATGACAAATACAGTCGAAAGAAATTCCTCGATGTCTTTTTGCAAGTTGTATGCATCACTAATATGACCAATGCAGTCGAAAGCAATTCTGCGATGCCTTTTTTGCAAGTCGTATTCATCACTAATATGACAAATACAGTCGAAAGCAATTCCGCGATGCCTTTTTGCAAGTTGTATGCATCACAAATATTACGAATACAGTCGAAAGCAATTCCTCGAAGCCTTTATGCAAGATCAGTAATATGACTGCTACAGTCGAAAGCAATTTTAGGATGCCTTATTTTAAGTTGTATGCATCACTAAAATGACCAATACAGTCGAAAGCAATTCTGCGATGCCTTTTGCAAGTTGTATCCATCACTAATATGACCGAACACAGCCGAAAGCAATTCCGCGATGCCTTTTTGCAAGTCGTATGCATCACTAATATGACCATCACGAAAACAATATGCGACCTTTTTGCAAGTTGTTTGCATCACTAATATGACTAATGCAGTCGAAAGCAATTCTGCGATGCCTTTTTGCAAGTCGTATTCATCACTAATATGACAAATACAGTCGAAAGCAATTCCGCGATGCCTTTTTGCAAGTCGTATGCATCACTAATATGACAAATACAGCCGAAAGTAATTCCGCGATGCCTTTTTGCAAGTTGTATGCATCACTAATATGACAAATACAGTCGAAAGCAATTCCGCGATGCCTTTTTGCAAGTTGTATGCATCACTAATATGACAAATACAGTCGAAAGCAATTCCGCGATGCCTTTTTGCAAGTTGTATGCATCACTTATATGACCAATAGAGTCGAAAGCAATTCCGCGATCCGCGTTGTATGCCTTTTATGACCAAATACAGTCGAAAGCAATTCCGCGCAAGTTGTATGCATCACTTTATATGACCAATAGAGTCGAAAGCAATTCCCCGCGATGCCTTTTTGCAAGTTGTATGCATCACTTATATGACCAATAGAGTCGAAAGCAGTCGAAAGCAATTCGAAAGCAATTCTGCGATGCCTTTTTGCAAGTCGTATGCATCACTAATATGACAAATACAGTCGAAAGCAATTCCGCGATGCCTTTTTGCAAGTTGTATGCATCACTTATATGACCAATAGAGTCGAAAGCAATTCCGCGATGCCTTTTTGCAAGTTGTATGCATCACTAATATGACCAATAGAGTCGAAAGCAATTCTGCGATGCCTTTTTGCAAGTTGTATGCATCACTTTTTTGCAAGTATGACAATATGACCAATAGAGTCGAAAGCAATTCCGCGATGCCTTTTTGCAAGTCGTATGCATCACTAATATGACCAATAGAGTCGAAAGCAATTCCGCGATGCCTTTTTGCAAGTTGTATGCATCACTAATATGACCAATACAGTCGAAAGAAATTCCGCGATGCCTTTTTGCAAGTTGTATGCATCACAAATATTACCAATATAGTCGAAAGCAGTTCCTCGAAGCCTTTATGCAAGATCAGTTATATGACTGCTACAGTCGAAAGCAATTTTACGATGCCTTATTTTAAGTTGTATGCATCACTAATATGACCAATACAGTCGAAAGAAATTCCGCGATGCCTTTTTGCAAGTTGTATGCATCACAAATATTACCAATATAGTCGAAAGCAGTTCCTCGAAGCCTTTATGCAAGATCAGTTATATGACTGCTACAGTCGAAAGCAATTTTACGATGCCTTATTTTAAGTTGTATGCATCACTAAAATGACCAATACAGTCGAAAGCAATTCTGCGATGCCTTTTTGCTAGTCGTATGCATCACTAATATGACCAATAGAGTCGAAAGCAATTCCGCGATGCCTCCTTACAATAGCTGGGTGGTGGCTTCTTAAGCTCCCGTGGCTTACTGCGGGTGCGTTGAATATTTTCGCCTTTCAGCTGAAGCGCCACCGCTGGCAAAGCGAGGGCGAGCCGCGCCGCCGCTGGGTACGTCGCCAACGGACGGGCCACTTCATTCCGTGACGTACCGAGTTACCGGACCTACGGAAACTGAGCACGACTGTACCCAACTGTAGAACAAGTGTCACCTGATCACAACACCTCTTTCCCTATTTGCGACGCCCTACGCCCGGTTTCCGAAACACTGATCACCGTGGAAGTCAACTGATCAGCTGTCAAATCGGTTTTTCAAATGTTATCCGAGTTTTAAAACATGTAGAAAAAGTACGAAAAGATTGTCGCCGCCGTGGGAATCGAACCCACGCCTTCGGCATTCGCGGGCTGACGCTCTAGCCACTGAGCTAAACGGTTGATAGCTTCTTCTTGAGTGCAGAGATTAGCATTATAAAAAACTTATCCGAGTTGCCAAAAGGATTGTTGCAACTCTCTGAATTCTTCACTCTGATCATTAAGAAGATCGTTCCGATCAATTCAGTGATCATTCAATCATCCTTTTGATTTGTCAGCATTGTTTGAAAATCCATTTGACAGCTGATTAGTTGATCTACGGTGATCAGTGTTTCAGAATCTGAGCGTTACTCTCTGATGGAAGGTCCCTGTGGGGGGAACAATGGTGGACTGGATCTAGCCGTGTTGCTATCCGCATCGGTCTATCGGCTGCCCATTGGAATAGTCTAAATGTCCCTCTAAGCTAAGTCTACCGTTATGGCGACAGATTTTCCTGCTTCGCAACCTAGGTCCTCAAGGGATACTGGCTGGATAGACCACTCGCTGGCGACTTTAATTTTTCTCCGTGTTCAGGAATTGTCAGATTGATTCCTCTGTAATGTGGCATGTTGGTATTTCCAAGGTAACCATGACACTGCCAGCACATGTCGTCCAGTGATTGTCAACTTCTTTGATGGATGATTGCTCAAACGATCTACTTGAACTTTTGTACTTTACCAAAAAAAAGACATTATTGAAACTGTACTTTACGGATTTTTATCGCGGATTTGACGCCTGGATGTCATTGCTAATTGTTAAAAATAGTTTTGTTTCGATTTTAGTGTCTTATTAAATCTATTTATGTTTAGTTTACCACTTTTACAGATTAGAATTAATTACCCGATTAGAATTAATTCAAAACCGAAACTATTTAGATAGATTGCGCTCATTTTACTTTGCTGTTTCAATTTGCCAAAAACTTGGCAAATTACACGCCGACCTCGTCATTCGTCGGGAGCGCTGAGCTTGCCCGAGTTACTATATTTAATTCTATATTACATTAAAAGTAATTTAATTAGTACTTCGAGTAGCTTATTTCTTTTTTATAAAATTTTTATTCCAAAATTCATCAAAATTTGTTCTGAGGTTTACTCGTAAGGCGTAACAGACAGACAAGAGTTACTTAGACAGACCCTTGTACTTTAATATATAGCCTTTATAATTTATATAGCCTATATGGCATTCTGATGTATAAGCTATATATATATAATATATCATATAATATTGTAAAGTTTCATTAAAATCCAACCAGTAGTGTCTGTGTGAAAAAGTAACAAACATCCATAGAACGTTTGTAATATTAGTAGGTAGGTTTTCAAAACACTACTATATTCTTACCAATATTATAAACGCGAAAGTTTGTATGTATGGATGGATGTTTGTTACTCTTTCACGCAAAAACTACTGAATAGATTTTGATGAAACCATACAATAATATAGTTTATACATCAGAATAAAACATAGGCTATAATTTATAAAGATATGTGTGAATTGTCCAACATACAGTCAATGATACGTGTCCACTAAGTAGGGAAAATATCAGCCATCTGCGAGATATTCTGATGCATAATAAAAAAACTCGTGTTAACTCCCTCGGCCGCGCGGGCGAAGCCCCGGTTAACAGCTAGTACAGCATTAGATTGGAGTATCGAGTATCGTATCATGCGCAATCGTTCCCGGCTTATATATGTATATGCAGGTATACAGCGTGTCGTTACCATCGCGACAATAAATGAACACACGTCTAACGCTACTTGCCAATAATCATAAAAACATATTAACGTTAAACAAAATCCATAATTAAAAAAATATATTTTTCAAACAAACTAATTAAGTAAAAAAGAAACAAAATTTGTAACCTCCTATACAACTCGCGCCACAGCGTCGCATTACAAGCCTCTCCTTCTAACAGTATGTTTTGTCTCTTTTAAATTCATTCAACCCATTCATATGCTTTGTGACCTTTACAAATGAACTTTACGTTACAGTTTTATACGTAAGGGTGTTCTAAAATTGTTCGTTTTGGAAAATTTAATAACTCGGTAAATATTGATGTTTAAAGAATGTAAATGTTAAATACAATTTTAAAAAGTTACCGTCTATATGTGTGTTCATTTATTGTCGCGGTGGTAACGACACGCTGTATATTGTACCGCACTCGTGTTCGTTTGGGGTCACCGCGTTACGGGCCGCAGGTGCGGCTATTCGAATGGACCTCGGAGAAGGAGCTGCGCCTGGAGTGCAGCCACTTCAACAACATCGTGGCGCTCTACCTCAAGGTGAAGGGGGACTTCATCCTCGTCGGCGACCTGATGCGCTCCATGTCGCTTCTACAGTACAAGCAGGTGCGTAATTCGTAATAACCCGAGCCCGTAAGCGTCACGTCCCTCGTGCCAGTACTTGCGGCTCGGATACCCACTATTGTGTCGTCATCGTCATCGTTTCAGCCCGTTACGAGTCCACCGCTGAATTCAGACCACCCCCATAAACTGCCACCTGAATTCTGAGCCACCCGCGTCCATCAACTTGCCGTACACTTGCACAGGTCGCCCTCCATGTCACCCCACTCGAGAACCTTTTGTTAATATTGTGTAATGATGATAATTTGCTAGGATCTAGGTGATCGTCAATAATGAAGTCAGGTTTGGGGGGGGGGGGGGGGGATTGATGAAAAGTTACGAAATATCAATGTTGTATTACTTGCTAATACTCATAGTACATGCTTTACTCCGTTTAGATCTGCGTTGTGGGTACATTACCCATATCGATTTCTCTTAAAAAGATTTCTTTTTTTTTTTTTATGTGAGAACAGCACATGTTGCAGTGTCGTTCAACCGGAGACAAAATAATTTTACCAACATGGTCAATGAGCGCCGCTAACAATAATCACGCCGTTACGAATTGCCCGGTGATAATTACGAAAAAAAAAACATTTCGTAAAACAGATGGAGGGCAGTTTCGAGGAGATCGCGCGCGACTACAGCCCCAACTGGATGACCGCCGTGGAGATCCTGGACGACGACACCTTCCTGGGCGCGGAGAACAGCTTCAACCTGTTCGTCTGCCAGAAGGACAGGTCGGTGCCGTTTACTTACAAACGTCTCTTCTTGAAAATTCCGTGCGTCGTACAAACGACGTCCCGTGCGCGAATCGAACCCACCAATGGCCTAAAGACCGCGTCACCGAGCCATGCGGTACCACTGCCAGTCAGAGTGGGCCCCGGCTACCTCACTCACCAGACGACGCGTAGGAGTGTAACACTTCCCCCCCACCGCGGGCAAGTGGTGCCTTCCCAGACGTGTCAGCCCATCCGTGCATCAGCGAAGACTGTGGCCAGTTTGGTTGCTTTGATGAGCCGGATCGGCGCCTCTGTCTCTACGCGGCTTAAAGGCCTTGCTGCCAGTCCACAAAATGTTTATTGTTTATTAACAAAAAAATTTGTTGTTGGTGGTAATCTCAGATTATACATACCCTTTTGATGTCGACTCTGACCTGTTCGATTTATGTATTATTTTTGAATTACTTCAAATTTGGAATGTTAGTTTTATTTGTTCACACTAATTGTGTCACATTTGATTGATTTCGTATTATTGTCGATTACAAAGTCCTTAAGTGTCTTTTTGGGTTGAAAGTGAATAGCCGCATGTACCATTAAAGGAATATTGTTTGGGCAGCGCGGCGACGACGGACGAGGAGCGGCAGCTGATGGGCTACATGGGGCAGTTCCACCTGGGCGACATGGTGAACGTGATGCGGCTGGGCTCGCTGGTGGCGCAGCACGCGGACACCGCCGCGCCCGTCGGCCACCCCGTGCTGCTGGCCACCGTCACCGGCGCCATATGTACTCTCTCTCCCACCCTCTCTCTCTCTCTCTTTCTCTCTCTCCCCCCCCCCCCCCCCCCCCCCCTCTCTCCCTCTCTCTCTCACGTCCCACACAAACACTGACACGTTACTAGACGATCCGGCAAACGTTGTTGCGCCATAATTTTTCCGAAAAATAAGCCTGCGTTGGACCACCTTATCGCTTGTGGTAAGAAAAATTGATTACGACCGATTCTCAGACCCACCTAAATCTAACATTTAATCCTCGTGTCGCGGTGTTTGTAGTTGAGCTCCTCCGAAACGGGTCGACCGATCCTCGTGGAATTTTGTGTGCATATCGGCCAGGGTGGAGAATCGGACTGCATCTATTTTTGACCCCACTAAATGTTAAGGGTGGTCTGCCCCAAACATTTTTTTCTACCCTGCAAATAATTTATATGGCAAAAGAACGTTCGCCGGGTCAGCTAGTTAGTATACATGTAAAATACCATAAAAACGTGTAAAGCCGTCTCGTTGGGGTGTGGCGACTGACATTGCGACAGGTGAGAGGAGATTGTTGCACACCCGCAGGCCTGGTGGTGCAGCTGTCGCAGGAGCTGTACGAGTTCCTGCACCAGCTGGAGGAGCGGCTGACGCGCACCATCAAGTCGGTGGGCAAGGTGCCGCACGCCTTCTGGCGCTCCTTCAACACGGACATCAAGACGGAGCCGGCGGAGGGCTTCGTGGACGGCGACCTGCTCGAGAGCTTCCTCGACCTGGCCAGGGACGTGCAGCAGGAGACGGTGCAGGGGCTTCAGGTGCGCCCACCCCCACACCCACCCTCCCCAGGATCAATCAGCACCCGCACCCTCCCCAGGATCAATCAGCACCCGCACCCTCCTCAGAATCAATCAGCACCCGCACCCTCCTCAGAATCAATCAGCACCCGCACCCTCCCCAGGATCAATCAGCACCCCCGCGATCAATCAGCACCCCCACCCTCCTCAAGAAACAATCAGCATCCACCCACACTTCCCCAGGGTCATCATCATCATTGTTAAGAACTAACCCATCACCGTCTATTGCTATCATATCAACAGGCCAAGGCGGCACAGGCACATCCCCATCGTTGCTTTGTATTATTTCTTATCTTTGTATATATTTGCTTTTATCGCTTTGTATCGGCTTCGGAGCCGAGGGTCGTGGGTTCGATTCCCAAACGTGACAACTGTTTATGTCACCCACAGATGATCGTTGTGACGCGTTGACACCCTTAAAAATGTCTACACCGATTACCTCACTCACCGGACAAAAAACGAAAGCTTAACACTTCCAATTCGCGCCGGTCATCTGTGAGGCATTTATTACTCAAAAAAAGGTACTTTTCAAAATTGCTAATTATTTATAAACAATTAGTCATTTTTAATGTATTGTACTCATTTCCTTTAATATCAACATGACATGTAATTATTTTATAGTAACCCGAAACTTAATGGTTTCAAATTAACACAGTGTAATTTCTGGGCCGTTAAAGGCGACAAAATATGTTCATAATAATTGTGATCGGATTCCGTATTAATTTCCGCACGTATAAAAACTCACTAAAAATGCATTAAGGTAACATTAAGTATTATATATCTCAAATTCAAGCTCCAAAACAATCCTTAACGTGTTTATTAATTTAGTAATGACCCTAGTTGCAGATCTGAACTGCTTTTGCTATTTACTGCATGCAACAGCGAAGACTGCTGCTTAACGAGTCACATGCTTTATCAATCGCACTTTTCTTTATTGTATTTAATATATTCACGTCACACAATGTATGTCAAAAAATTCAAAAAATAAATTAGTCCGCTGAGTTCCTTTCGGTGGCTTACTTATTTTGACTATCAACAAATGAGTCCAATGCTCCCGTGTCGAATAAAGATATTTCAATTGCGGTAGTAGTATTTTGACTATCAATAAGTGAGCGCAATGCCCGTAAATATATTTGAATTTGAATAATTGTTCGCAGATCGACGACGGGGGCGGAATGATGCGCGACGCCACAGTCGACGACCTCATCAAGATCGTGGAGGACCTAACCAGGATACACTAGGGGGCGCAAGTGTCGCCCTATAAATTAAAAACTTCGTACTTTACTCTGTGCTTTCAATTTCGCCTACCATACCACATAAATAAAGGATACATGGCAAAACAGAGGCCGCACAATTTCGCTTGGATCATTTCACATACAACTCTATCGGACTACTTATTCCCTTATATCAGGAAATTATCTATATTAGTTAGTTCAAACAAAGCAAAGCTCTTTCTCAGATAATGGATACACATTATTTTCGTTTATGAATAAATACAAAATATAGTATATGATATGTCTAATGTATAAACACCAGTAGGTATTACACAATACGATAACACTAGGTTCGTCGCACAATATTTTTGCAATAGTGGAAAAATATAAATCGAACACACCGTCTGGCCCCACAACGTCCCTTATTAGAATATATTGAAATTAAACCTATATTGCCAGTTACCAGAAGCGAGACAACGGTGGGGTTGCTATCCAGAGTCGATGTTCCGATACAGAATAAAACCACGGCTGAGATCAGTGACATTTTTGTACATTGCATACAATTACAGTAAGGAAAAGATGTTACAACATTAAAGCGCCTGGCCACTGAGCCATCACGGCTCGATCGGCAAATACCTCGCTTTAATGTTGCCAAAACTTATTAGCATCTTAGCCCGAGAAATTAAACAATATATTTCTTGCAAAAGGTCGTTGTTTGCACAAGACCAGAACCTTCTACTGAGCCTTCAACTACTACCAAACATTTCGAGTTACAAGTGTTGGGTAAAAAATAAATGTCAAAGTAGTAAGCGTATACTTTTATTACTTTTTATACAAAAAATACAATTTTAAATGTGCCCTCGACTGAAAAACTGAAAAAGTTCTCACTTGATTGTTTGTCAAAAAAGAATATATTCATTCTTCCCTGTAAAATGAATAACATATTTTTTTTACAATATTTTTCAAAAGAAATATTCGCGCTATTAAACATAAAGAATTTCATTGTATGTATATTTAATACGAAATACATAATAGTCTACAATCGATTGATAAAAACTGTATTCATTATAAATTAATTGTAACGTCAATTTAATTGCAAAATACTTATTGTCTCACAATAAATGTATCTCATTTGATTAATTAACAACGATACATAATTTGTGCATAAAATTAATCCACTTGCTTTTAATTAACGAAATACATCGATGTATTTGGTAAATTAAAAGGAAGTTTTATTTATTACATATATTTATATATACATACTCATTAAATAATCATCATTACATAAATATAATTGAAACACGGAATTTTTATTATCACGTGGTGTGTTATCGAGACAGTTCGAGCTACTCTGTTTTTATCACTTGACCTTGTTTCTAATGTTATGCGCGCTAAACTATATAAAAATTTACGGATGTAAGCGTTTTATATTCACCTACAGCTTTTTGCACTGTGCGCAGTAACGCTCGTAGGTCCTAGGGACAGAAGAAATACTATTAAATTCTACGCTTGTGTACAATAACCTTGTATTACTAAACAAAAACATTTTAAAGGGTTTTTACGGCGTTAAATTTAAATTAATATTCTGCACGTTTCGACACAATAGTTGTTATTAAGTCAAAAGGATGGATTTACCATGAATGGAAATCTGTAAAAATAAATTTCATTTAGCAATTCAGCATAATTTATATATAACTATCGAAACGCCCCGAGGTGCAATGTATTATACATATAAAGGTTCCTCTTGAATCGCTCTATCTAGAAAAAAAAACCGCATCAAGATCCGTTGCGTAGTATTAAAGATCTAAGCATGCATATGGCATATTATACTATGAAGTCAGTTATCCTCAACAAGAGTATATATTTTTTTATTTGCATCTGGAACCTCCACTCAGACGTTTAAACTATAACCAAGCGAGTTGTAAGAGGTTTGGGGGTTAAGAGTATACACGGCATAATTATTATTTGCATTTCAGTATGTCCTAAGGCAACACTAATTCTCGCAGAGATAGGTTTGAGTACTATTCAATGAAAGAAAAATTGCCTTAAGCACATGACGCCGAATAGGAATAATCTGTAACCCTCATAACATTTAATAATTTAAATATTTAATAATCATCAAAGTTAGAAGTCAATGATTTGCTGGGCGTCCATCAAGTCCATCTCCAGCTCATATTTAGTTACAGTGACAAAATAGTGGTATATCTTTTAGTATGTTAAATTATGGGAAAATTGACTATTGGAAATCAAAGTCATACTCACACAACATATATATTTTTTGAGACAATGTTTCATAGAAATTCTGTCATATACCAGTCAAATTAAAAAGTGCAGAATGATGTCTCCCAGGTCAACTAGCTGATAAACTAAACAGTCTTACGAATTATTAGATAAACTCTACAAGTCATCAAAAAAGAAGAGCTTGAAATAATAAAACTATTGTATTGGTTGTATACTTTAAAAATCATGAATAAAACATGTACCATAATAACATACAATGTTCGCAACTAGAATAAAAACAATACATGTAAGAAAAAATTGAGATGAAGAATTATTATTTGCTATTTTCTATTCAAGACCTTTTTAAAATTGGACTATGATCATTTCCACTATAAAGCAGTGCAGTTATCTGATACAGTAAACATACAGGCAATATAAAAAAGACAAAAGAGAAACAACAATTCACCAATACTCAATTATATACAGTGCAATAAGTAATACCAATTGATATAATAATGTAAAAAAAACTATCTATAAGTTCTTCAATATACAGCTAAAATTACACAAATACAATATTGAGCTACTAGACATAAATGAAGATTATATTTTCATTAAAAATTGTAAACTAGAAATTTAATTCCAAATGTTTAAGTGAAAGCTGTGGGTTTTAATAAATGGGCCTACTTCCTAAACTTGTCTGCCTTGTAGTGTAAGAACCACATAAGAGCAAACAGACAGCTAGGTGGGCTGGCGATGGGGCCAGGCGAGTTCACCATCTCCTCTATTTCTGGAATAGTTTTCTCTACTACCTCTATCAGTTCATCATCTACTCCACCACCTGAAAAGATGTAAATGGTTAATTATAAATTTTTGTTCATTAATTTAATGTAACTATTGGCTTATATATAACTTTTTTTTAAACAATATTCCCTTTCCTGTCTCTTTTCTAATTGAATATTTTTTATAAACTTTCTAAGGCAAGTTCACCATTCACATCGGATCAAAATAGTTAACATTAACCTGAATATGAATATATCAAACATCTATAATCTTATAGAAATAATATAATTGCTAATATTGATAAAAATGATTGTTTCCATTACTTTTTGTAAAATTATTATCAATATGGTGTCTACATTGATTAGATAAAAAGGTACTATTGCAGTGCCAGCATAGGACAATTATGAATATGAATTGTATTATTGTATAAAAAAAATTGTGATTTAAATTAATCATATTGACTCTATCAGCAATTAGTTTCCATTTAATGTACTCAATTTAGCACCACAATGCATATTTAAAAAAAAAAAAACAAAATTATACATGTACTTTTATGCTTATGTAATAAATTTTAATGTGCTTGACAATAATTCTTTGTACCTTAATCTATATATATATATATATATATATATATATATATATATATATGCGTTACGCTGGATCAAACAACTCCTAGAACGGATAACTATATATATATATATATATATCTAGAACCAAAAGGTGTAGAGACTTGAAATTTGGTAGGAATATTCCTTTCACCGAGTAGAGGTCAGCTAAGAACGAATTTTACGAAATGTTACCTGATGGGACCGCTAGTAATATATAACATATTATAAAATATTAAAACAGACCTTGTTCAGTCTTCATGTCATCTGTTACTTCACAATAGAAGAAAGTCTGAAGAGCACCCTGTACTCCAACTCCAGATCTATAAGAAATTAATATTACAGAAAGGTTTAAGGCATCATTTTTGAACCAATACTGCAAGTCATATACACATTATTCCTAATTATCATGAGGTTTAGGTAACCTACTCAATTATATATCTAATACATTTAGATGTTATATTATTACTAATAAACAGATTTACCTCAAAAAATATATATTTTTGAATAAGAAATATACATAAAATATATATTTCTTTACAAAAATATATACAATATTTTCTATGCATGATATTGTATCACAAAACTCATGGGCAACAAATTTATACCTGTAAGAAGTGATTCTATGCAACCCTTCAAGGGGTACATTATAGCCACATTCCTCTAACACCTCCTCCTGAGCTATATGTTCTACAGATTTATCCTTGTCTATTATACCAGCACACATCTCCAAGGCTATGCCCAAAGACGCCGGATACTTGGTCGAGTCTATCGTGGATTTTTTACGATCTTCTGGGCTTATGCAATTGTAGTAGATTGCTATGGGAGAAAAATACTTAAATTTTAGGTTTCATGCACGCAAATATTATTTCATGAGACGAAATAAATGTATTATTTTTTTCGTTGATCATATTAAACGGCCAAAATAATTTAGTATTGAATAACTTACCGGGACGAAATTGTTTAACAAACACCATCACCCTTCTGGTGATATTAAAAACAATGATTGCGACGCTGTCGTGAACTTCCAGCAGATCCCACGTCTTTTCTTTGCCATTTTGTGTATAATTAAATCGAAATGGTTTAACGTACGGAGAATCCGGCAATGGACTTATGTACACATCCTTTAGGTCTTCCATGCTCTCAATAATATTAAATTATTATATTTAAAATTAAAATACAGTTAATTATATTGGTGTACTTGTTTACACAACACAATTCAAACTTATACTAAGGAGTTCCTTTCAGTGTCGGTTAAATTAACTGTGTGGCTGTGGAATTGGTTATTGGATTTACAACAAGTTTTGCTTAGTTTGACGGTGCGCATTTGACTTGACGTAATGTCATGTCATAGAATAGAATGGCCAAAGAGTACAATTATTGTTCTCATACATGTACTTATAGCAGAATTTAATTTTATTGGGAAGGTATAAATATCATAATACCCCTGTTATTCGAATTGTTCCTATTATATTGTATGCTGTAGAGATGGTGCGTATTTACGTTACCAGGTATTTCCTTACAAGTATTCCAACCAAGTACCGGACCGGCCCGATATACTTGCAAGACCAAAACTCAGTTCAGTATACATGTCTTATCTATGCCTGAACTGAAGAAAGTATTTTTCCTATAAAGTATACGAGCCCTTATAATTAAGTATTTATTATGTCGATCGAACTCGAACGTCGAACGAATCGAATGCAGTGTTACCAACTGTTAAAAAATAATACTCCTAAAACTAAATAATTCGAAAACCCACTTAATTTTATTGAATTCAAACAACAATTTCTAAATTTAATTAAAATCACGGTTTTTTTATATTATAGGTAAAGGCGAAATGATTATCTGATAAAATAAACCATTTCTTTCAAAATGGTCAAGAATATAAAATATAATATAATTCATTTGAAATGAATGTTAAAAATAAAATCAAAACAATATTAAAAAAATAATGATTATAATACATAAATATTCATATCAGACACATAGGCCTTGGCCTGACGTCGTCCAAAGCAGCACAGCGCTGTAAAATTTTATTTTATTTTTTAAATAAGTATTTTGTGGAGTTTTATTCGAAACTGTAAAAAAAATTAACTCCTAAAAAACATTCCGGTAAAAATTTACTTTCCAAAAAGCTATTCTACATTTTTTATTCCTAAATTTAGGAAGAAAATTCCTAAGTTGGCATCCCTGGGCGTGCGTCGTGCGATGGCGAAGCAATGTATATCGGTCTCGCCTGGTGTGTCTCTCTCCTTGATTGAACTTATGTATAAATATACAAAAAGTTCAGATTGTCCTTATACGTGAAGTAAAATACTTTCAAAGTATTTTACGTCTTGATTAGAATATTTTGAATCTTATGTGTATAGCAACCAGGTTTAAATTTGCAAGGAAACAAATATTAGACTCGTTGCATTGAACAGAAAATACTTTGAAAGTGTTTTGATACCTGGTTTCTGTCCATGGTGTGAGAAGGTGGAAGTGCTTGCAGGGAAATATACTATACTTGCAAGGAAATACATAGTATCAATACCTGGTAACGTAAATATGCACTATCTTTACTGCCCCCATAAAAAATATTATTCGTGATTTTAAAGAATTTCGGATTTTTTATATTTTATTGTACAGCTTTACTCAATAGATAGGATATATTCAGACTTTGGATCGGGAAAATTAAATAATTCTCGTATATCGTACACTGTATAACTTATGTTAACACGAAATTTTGAATCTGTTATCTAACTGCTTTATCTACAATAATAATTGTCAATGCGATCATGAGACATGACATGATGACAGTATTAACATTTATCAAACTTATTGTTGACTAAAATTATTCACCAAATATTGTAGTTGAATACTGTTAATAATTTATGTATAAACACAATGTCAAAACCTGAGAAAAATTCAAAACCTGGTTTTGTTATTAAATTATCATGCGAAACTGTTCAAAAGATTTCGGAGGAAGAGCAAAAAGCGAAATCTTTAGAAGAGCCAACAAAACTCCCTGTACCAAAGGTAGATACTCCAACAATTGTACCTAAAAGTAGCAAAGCTCTAACGGAATGTGAACAGGCTTCCACATTAGACTTAAATAAAAGTGCTGACATCCAAAATAAGGAAAAAAAACAACAGGAAGCAGACCAAAAGTCTGACACAAAATGTGTTGAAGACAAACAAAATACGAAAGATCCTAAAGCCGTAACTGATTGGGGTGATTACGCAGCATACGTGACATATGAAAATGAAAATGCAGTGTACACAGACCCATCAACTCAACAGAAGTACTTATGGAATAAAGAAACTAACTCTTGGGATCCTAACAAAGATGTCCCAAACAGAGTTTATAGCTTTGAAAATGATACCCATGTGTATACAGAAGCAGATGGTTCCAAATTCTTTTGGGATGATGAGAAAAAAGCATGGATACCTAAAGTGGATGATGAATTTCTAGCTTATTATCAAATGTCTTATGGATTTGTGGACAATACTAAAGACGAGAAAAAAGAGGAAGCAAATAAGCAAGTAAATCAAAAGAAATTGGAACCCGGAGTTAAACGTAAGACTGAGCCACAGTGGTTTGAACAATCTGAAGATAAGAATACTAAAGTATATGTTTCCAACCTACCTTTGGATTTGACAGAAGAAGAGTTTGTTAATTTCATGCAGAAATGTGGATTAATCGAGAGAGATCCGAGTACACAGAAAATGAAGGTTAAACTGTATATGGACAAGGAGCACAATTGTTTTAAGGGTGATGCCCTTTGCACCTACATAAAAATTGAGAGTGTTGAGTTGGCGTTGAAGTTTCTTGATGGTTGTGATTTCAAAGGTAAGAAAGTCAATGTGGAGAGAGCACAATTTCAACTGAAAGGTGAATACAACCCGGCGCTAAAGCCAAAAAAGAAAAAGAAGAAGGAAATAGAAAAAATAAAGAAAATACAGCAGAAACTTTTTGATTGGAGACCAGAGAAATTTATTGGTGAAAGATCTAAGCATGAACGGATTGTCATTGTTAAAAACCTTTTTCAACCAACAGATTTTGATAAAGATGTGCAATTGATTCTAGATTATCAACAAGATTTAAGGGAAGAAAGCGCTAAGTGTGGTCAGGTAAGGAAAGTTGTCATTTATGACAGGCATCCAGATGGTGTTGCTCAGATTACCATGTCAGAACCAGAGGAGGCGGATGAAGTTGTTAAACTCATAAACGGAAGGTGGTTTGGTAAAAGGCAGATAACTGCTGAAACTTGGGATGGGAGAACTAAGTACAGGATAGCTGAAACTGATGCAGAAATAAATGAAAGGATAAATAATTGGGACATGTTCTTGGAAGGGAAAGATGGTGGAGTTAACCAAAAAGTGGTTACAACTGCAGGGGCAGATGTTGGAAGACCATCAGAAGAGGTTGTGGAAAAACAAACTGAAGACAACTCATCTTCAAAACCGGCTGTTGTAATGGATTCTAATATAAATACTTGAACTTATTGTAGTTATGTTAAGTGTAAAATAAAGAATGAAACAATCTAGCATTGTTCTTTTAATCGCAATTATGATAATACTTAATACGTGAATATTTGAATTTTTTATCGCTACCAGGATTTTAACTTGCGTCTAGATGCTGTAGCCACCATAAGTTAAGCGGTTGACATACTCGCCAAGCGAAATTATCGATGTCTTATATACTTTGTTTTTTATTATAATATTTTTACAAAAATTATTTGAAAAATAGAGACGTCGCCTTGAACATGTAGAAAATTAATAAAATGAAAGATTACATATAATATCTGAATTGGAACTATTGTTGTATTTTTAAATCTAAACTACTCGTCGACGAAATTAATATTAAATAAAACTTATAGCCCTACGAGTCTCGTCATCATTCAGGTTTCTTCTTGAGTGCAGAGAGTTGTGCCTATGGTTAATTTTATCGTTATTTACTATTAAATTTAACTAATAAAATCAAATATTATTTCATGTTAATTAAGATAACGTCGTTTTTAACATTCTGCAATGTAAAGAAATAAAGAAAGCATAAAACCAAATTATCGATTATTTTAATAATTCCTTTGAACCGAAGAGTTCATTGCGTCTATGGATAGATTTCTACCAAAACTCATTAAAAGTAAAGATGACCAGTGATGTGACGAGTTGGATTTTTTTTGACTCTAGTTACTCGAGTTGATTTGGCTACTGACTCGAATCGCAACTCGAGTTGACTCGCATCGAAGTCTCCGGTAGGGACAGAGGGGGGGGGGGGGGGGGGGACGACGACAACATCGGCCAATTCGGAGAGCACGAGTCGACTCGACGCTAATTAGATAGGAAGTAATAATGATGTTGAATCGTGATGTTATATGGCTACTCGAGTCGATTCGCTACTTTGTTTGTGGTCTGAACTAATCTCTCCTTTTTCTATATACCTTGACCTCGAACAGTGCCCGACGGTTGGGATTTCAAAAACAAAACTTACAATCAATTGGCACTGACGTACAATTTATTTCGAAATTTTTTATTTTTTTTGGACTGGATAAGCCACTGTTGGCTTCAGGTAGCGTGGCGCACGAGGCGCCTAGCCTGAACCTCGTGTTTCGAAAATCAATCAACAAAGGTGTATATTATTCCAGCTCAGATCTCAACATCGTGTTTAAGAAAATACGACAAAAAAATACCGCAATCTATCGCCTCAAAGTCGTACTTATAAAATGTAATTGTACATATTCGATTGCTTATCGAAAATAAAGTTAAAAAAAAGTTTCCGTTTTTATAGCAAAGAATTCCCACGCCACACTTCTGTTATTTGACGTCGTTACAAACAAAACAAAACAGATCACTAACAAATCAAAAATGTCAGTTCGCACGCGGATCGCCAACGGCCAACTAATAAAATCAAATATGACATTTTGTTATTTGATTTTATTAGTTAGCCGTTGGCGATCATTGATGATGAAAAAACAAAATAAACTTTTAAAGGCCGAACGAGCCCGACTCAACCGGAGTTCTATTCGAGTTGATGCGAGTAGGATGCAACACCTTACGAACGGAGCGCGCGCGTGTAACGTAACTTTGCATTTCACTCAACTCGAGTTGAAGCGAGTTGATGCGAGTTGCAACGCCTAACGAACCGCGCGCGCGAGCCGCGTGTGTAACTCGGATCAACTCGTGAGGCCCCCGCGTATAACGTCCGGTTTGCGTTCGGACGACCGAGTTGATTCGAGTTGCTTAAAACTGAACTCGTGTTGACTCGTTTAAGGTTTGACTCGAGTTACTCGAATCAAATAACTCGAGTCACACATCGCTAAAGATGACACCATAAATAGCGAGCCGTCATGTTGTCTTGTCTGACACATGACTTTTTATGTTGCATACACAAGAATATCTAATTTGATTCGATATTTCGTAATTAAAACACACATATTATCAAATTTAATAGCCGTCTAACCAATGAACCAAATAAGCAACATACACATGTGAACGATGAAAGTCATTAAAAGGCGGCTGGGTTCGCGTGCCGTCTCCAACTGAGTTGTCAACTGATACCAATCGGGCTTCATAAGCCGCCTCCATGAATAATAACAGGATATGATAACATGGCCGTACAATCGGACTCCGGAGGGAAGGACGACGTGAAGACACAGTTCGTGACACGGGAAGGCACATACAGATTGATGACGCTCTCCGAATACTCGAGACCTAATCGAGTTGGATACACAAGTGGCTCGGGCGCCACTCATGTGCGCGTGTCATTGGTATCGCTGCCGCCAGGGCCGGGTGGAGGCGCGCCCGGCTCCGACGGACTGGGATCCGACGACAGGATATGTTTTAATCATGGGAAGGAACTCTATGTTTATGTTTACAGAGGTGTTAAAAAAGTGAGTATAAATGTTTAGTTCGTTATCATGCTTGTCATGTTTTAATTGGTATGCAATGATTTTTATCCATATTGCATATGGTGCACTGCAAATAACTTATCTAAATACTTCATTTATTATCTAAGATGTACTGTTTTCAAGACATCTTAAGAAGTCATTACATAGATATTAATCTCAAGAATGTTTGTGAAAATTTAATGCTTTTAGAAAGTATAAAATAATTGTTTACAATTTAAAAATATTTAAAATTGAGTGTAAAAGTATTTAAGTATTAAAAGCAAAGTTATGAATAAATAAAAAGTCAACCTATTGGTTATCTACTTATGCACTAAAAGTGTGATGCAATATGTTACAAATATTTCAATAAGGGGGCATCAATTGACATTGACATATGTTCAATATCTATAACATCCACTTTAAATCTGGCAGAAGAATCTATCACATACTTGTCCATCTTAAAGTTTAATCTGATTGTGGTAGGGCTATGCAACAGTGTTGCACAATTGGACCTGCCCAATTGTGCAGTGCCAAAAAAAAATGGTCCGAGTAAGTACCCCATCCTCACAGAAGACTAGCGTAAAGTAGAAGTGTTACACTTCTGTGTTTCGTCTGGTGAGTGAGGTGGTCGCAGCCCAAAAAAAAAGTTTTTGTGCTCACAGACTGTAGAATAGTCTGGCGTCCTTATCCACGGACTACAATACAGAATAATAATATTACTATTGTAATACACACTTAAACTAAGAGCTTTTACAGTATTCATGAAAAGAGAAGAAGCTTCTGGTCCTACAAAAGTACAATAATTATAAAATATACTTCAAGGTCCTCATATACCTTTGAAGATATTATTTATAATATTCCTTAGGCACAAATTTTCATAATATTCTTTGCCATTTAAAATATGTTAAATTGGTAATTAATAATGCAATAATAAAGAATTTTTGATGAAAGTATTTATCTTTATTATTAAGTAGTTTTAAGCCAAAATAAGAACTGACAATGGGTGTACTAGAATTTAGAAATAAGGAAACAAATTTATTAAATTGATTCAATTTGTTGAAAAACTGTATACTTATAAAACATTTTAAATAACATAACTGTACACTTTTCATTGTAATGTTTGACTTAACAAACATAGTCAATTAAATGGTACTTAATAAATTTTATGCATTTATTATGAGTTGCAATTAGAGTAATCATACAATATATTTTTAATGCCCTGCCAAGGTTATGTGCAATGTCGTGACATAGGAAATAGTTTTATGCAAATGAGACTAAGCATTATTATGTGCAGTGATGCAGATGTAGCCTTAACTAAACATTGTTAAGGGCTTTCCAATTGATACAGGTTGAAATAATATTATTTATATTGAATATTGGCACAGATAGATATAGTTTATAGTGGGTAGCTAGTTTGTAGATGTGTAAACATATATTATGCAATATGTTATCAAAAACATTACTATAAAATATTATTTATTAACGTAATTAGATAATATTTTCTGTTAATGTTTTGATTTTATGTTTTCACAATATATGAAGAAGAAAAGTATTGCTAGTGTAAGTTGCGATGATAATGTACGATATAATTTACATAAGAACTTAAAAAAAAAAAACGTTTGAATGTTCCAATAGATATATAGCCATTAAGTTTATATTCTAGTGGATAAATAAAAAAAAGGAATTTTATATTATTTTCTGTGTGAATAAAATTCTCGTCTATTTATATAATTTATGTAAATCCATGAATCATAGCCTAATTATTGTAATTAGAAATTTTGAAGAAGGAATCCTTTTTGAAGTGTAGTACACAGCCACAAAGCTATGACATCTTATTTGTAAGAGATTGAGAGGATGAGGACCCGTGGACTCTAGAGAAACATCATAGATGGTGCACAACAACACAGTCACCAGATGGTTTCTTAAATGTTACAAAATTCTTAGATAAGTGCAGGTGCACTCATTTATAATTAGCCGCAAATAGGTGTTTGTGGCTAATGATAAATTTTTTTTTATTAACTAGTTCCACAAATTTTGGGCTCATAAATGAATCTCATGTTTTGATATTTCAGGCGGCCGATCTCACTAAACCTGTGGACAAAAAGATGTACAAAGGTACGAACCCCACCTGCCACGATTTCAATGCGGTTACGATGACGCCGGAGAGTGTCTCCTTAATCATAGGTTTCTCCACCGGACAGATCCAACTCATAGACCCCATAAAGAAGGAATTAAGTAAATTATACAATGAAGAGGTGAGTTGTATTCTCATGTATTTATTAAAATCATTATGTATTTTAGATTGGGTAGGGCACACAAAAGTTTCCACTGTTGCATGAATAAGCAGACTCATTAGTAGCCTCACAGAAGACGTCAGGTGGGTGAGATAACAGGAGCTCCCAATTGACTACACAACCTTCCCTGTAATTGTAGGTGTTCATGGGGGTGGCAATAAAAGTATCAGGGAACTGCCTGCGCTTGGGCCAATTTATGATATAAATAAAAAAAGAGCCATATTAATTAGCTTAGCTTTCCATTATTAGAGATTTCCTTAGTGTAATATTTAGGAATCAGCATTGTGGGTAGAGTTGTTGATTACACTATTATTTAGCCTACAGTACATCAACCACATGTTGTCACATTGTATTCTACAATATATGTATGTATGAATAGGATAAATAGATAGAGATGTATCAATGCTATATTTAGAGAAAAATGACCCCTTCTTTCTTTGTCGTAACGTAAATGTTGACTGATATGCACTTTTATTGACAAAGTTCTAAATATCATGACGAATAACATTAAAATGTCTTTAGAATATTGTTTTAGTGTCGTACATTATTTCTTTACTCAACTCCCTTCGTGTACATGCGTGTAAGCTGTTCACAATTCACGAACACCGTTTTCAGAGAGCTGATAGACAAGACGCGCGTTACTTGCATCAAGTGGGTGCCTGGATCCAGTAACCTCTTCATTGCGGCGCACGCGTCCGGTCAGCTTTACGTTTACAACGAGGAGCTGACGTGCGGCACTGCCACCCCGCACTATCAGCTGTTCAAGCAAGGCGACGGATACTCGATACACACGTGTCGGACAAAGTCCACCAGGAATCCGCTGTACAGGTGGCTAATAGGCGTCGACGGCAGCTGTATCAACGAGTTCGCGTTCTCGCCGTGCGGCACCAACTTGGCGGTGGTCTCCCAGGACGGGTTCCTCAGGGTGTTCCACTACGATACGATGGAGCTGATCGGCAGGGCGCGCTCCTACTTCGGCGGTTTCCTGTGCGTGTGCTGGTCGCCCGACGGCAAGTACGTGGTAGTGGGGGGCGAGGACGACCTGGTCACCGTTTGGTCCTTCGGCGAGCGGCGCGTGGTGGCCCGCGGCCAGGGCCACCGCTCCTGGGTGTCCGTGGTGGCCTTCGACCCGTACGTGGTCAGCTTCAGCGAGGGCGAGCACGAGGAGGCCGCCGAGGAGGAGGGCACGGGCGAGAGCGTGCAGTGCTACAGGCTGGGCAGCGTCTCGCAGGACACGCAGCTGTGCCTGTGGGACCTGACCGAGGACGTGCTCCGGCCGCCGGTGCGGGCGCGCGCCTCCGCCCACCTGTCGCCCAACGGCGCGCCGGCCGGCAAGCCGCCGCCCAAGGCCGCCAAGGGCAACCGCGTCGCCCACAAGCACGCCGAGCTGGGCGGCCTGGCCAACGCCGCCGGCGAACCGTCCGCCGCCAAGCCGGCCAAGCCCAAGCCGAACAACGTCTCCACGCTCAACATCAGCGTGGGCAAGGCGAAGGAGGAGGGCTCCGGCTCGCTGGGCGCCAACTTCACCCAGCGGCTGGCCGGCTTCTCGTTCGGCGAGCGGCGCTCCGACCACCGGCGCAACTTCAGCCTGTCGAAGGCGGCCGACGGCACGGTGGCCCTGCGCGCCAGGTCGGCCGACGCGTGCGACCCGCTCAAGCTGATCGGCACGCCGTCCTGCCCGCGGTTCGACGAGTGCCCGGTGCTCGAGCCGCTCGTCTGCAAGAAGATTGCGCACGAGCGGCTCACCGCGCTCCTGTTCAGGGCGGAGTACTTCGTCACGGCGTGCGCGGACGGCTGCGTGAACACGTGGGCGAGGCCGGCGCGCGCGCACAACGGCGACGCGCGCCCGCGCAGGTGCGACCGCATCGAGCTGGTGGACTAGTGCACGCCGCCCGTGCGCTGCGTGCGCGCCACCGGCGCCGCGCTGGTGGAGCGCACGCGCGCGGGGGGCGGCGACAGCGACAGTGACACGTAGGCGCGAAGGGGACATCACTAGTGGTCGTGTCAAAGTGTACTTCAGTTACAGAGTGTGCGAAAACTCTAGTGGTTTCCTTGTGGCGACGGCGACAGATAGCCGAGGTCGACGGCGACAGCTAGCACTTATGGTTGTTCAGATTTCACTGTGTACAGTGTTCGTGTACAGTGTACTTCTCGCATGGAGTGTGCGAAAACTGTGGTAGTATCATTTTGATTGTGCTGCAGATTAACCCCAAGTGGAAGGATACCGAGTGAGGAATTGTCATATATTTGTGATTGGTAATGGAAAAGAAATAAGGTTTTGTGCGGTTGGATTGTGAAACTGCTCAGTGTACATTTGTAGTATGAAAAATTTTGTACTGTAGTGAGCTATTTTTACTGTAATATATTAGTATTAATTACAAAAATGTGAAGTAATCCTCTTGGACGGACTGCAGACAGTAATAAGACAGTGGAAGCATTTATAACAGACAGTTTTGTATTTGGCCAATGAGAAAATTGTGTTATTCCATAGTAGAAAATAGTTGATTTTATGAAGCATCTTCAGAATGTAATGTGATATGCTTTCCTGTGGTTTTTGTTTGTAAAAGCAAAATGGATATCCTCTATGATTGCATCATGTAATATGGGAAAATGGTCAGGACCATTATATATAGTGGATTAACACAGAATGATAAAATATTCATAGAAAAGTACATTTTTCTTAATAAAAAACAAACTTAACTTCAAATATCTCACTCGCTATATACTTTCCATTTGATTTTGAGGTGTTCCTTGATGTATCTCTAAAGTCCAAGGTTCAGTACCAATGAATTTAACATAGGATCACATGGCAGCTAAACTGAAGCCAATAAAAAAGTAATTTTTAAAATCTGTTTATAAATGACAGAGGGAGATAATAGAGGGAAATAATTAAAATAGTTGATACTAGCCTGGCAATAGACAAAACTTGAATTACCTCACACTATTCTGAGTTCAATATTACATGATGCGAATGCCCAATTCTGAGCTGTTTATATTTCTTGTAGTAGCAGCAAATTTTTACCAGTTATGCTTCAACATTTAGAACCGCTCGGCACAAGCGTTTGGCGATACCATTAGTAATGACTTATTACCAATCACGGGAATGTTCTCACAGCGTTAACTGTGTTGACGGGTGTACATTTGTAACTGTTATTGCCCTATTTACACATATTAAGTATTTAATTATATGAAAAAGCCCTATTGCATCAACTATACTATGCACCTACTAAATTAAAACTAAATATTACATGTTCAAAATTACAAATTCATAAATTCAGTAATAAAATGGAAAGAAAAATAATTCACGGTGGCGCAGTAGCTAATTGGCTTCGGACTTGGGGGTCGTTGTTGATTAGATTCCCACATGCGACCCACAGATAATTGTTCCGGATCTGAAATATGCATATTTTCATAATATTTACCACTGCTGGGCTAAAGCCTCCTCTGTACAGAGGGTACTAGGGCATAGTCCTCCAAGGGGCCCCACTGCGGATTGCGGATTGCGGACTTCTCATATCTTCGAAATATTTTATTTTGTTACTATTTCGAAAATGTAAAAGCGGAAATAGCAGGTTTCCTCACGATGTTTTCCTTCACCGTCGAGCGCGAGATAAGTCAGCACCATTTTACTGTTACTGGCACCGGGATTTGTACTCTGGTTGCTCGAGCATAATGAATTGAAAGCGAGCTATCAAGGCTCTCAATGTGCATGAATTAAGTTAAAATTTATTTGACTACTTAATACGTGTAAATCGGGCATAAGGAAGGCTTGTTTCTTCGATGACTGTAAATATAGTACGTAAGAATTAGAGCGATCCAAGATTGCTTGCACGAAACGCCGGGTTCGCGAGGCAACGGCTTAACGGGTAACGTCAAACGCGTTTGACATATGCGCGTTCGAAATTTGAATTTCGCTAAAGACGACTCTGCCCAAACGTACTGATGTAAACCACGAACGCACTCGTGCTCCCTCGATGTATTCGTGTGACTATTTATTGATTTAAAAGGCAAAGAGACGATTTTAATGCTGTTGATATCGGGTCGCGCCTGTGAGACTTGCGCGGTTTGTCGATTTTTTAATATGACAGAGTTGTTGACGGATTGCCGACTGTATTTTGTCTGCGGTTATTCCTTATAGGTAGCTCATTAAACGCAATTCGGGATTGAATTAGCCGTTATTTTTTTTTATTTAATTTATTTATTTATATCTCTTTACCACTTGTAAAAATAACAGTGCAACTATTACTGGCAGCTTTATTGTCTCGGGTGGGATATGGAGTAGTTACAAATCATTCGAAATGTTTCGGGATTTTTTTTCAATAGCATAAGCGCCTATCATAGGATTCAAGTTTAGTTATCGAATCGAAATAATCGTTTAATATTTCCAATATTTAAGGAATGTTGCTTTTTCTTTTTTCTTTGAAATTTTGATATAATTTCTATTGATGATTTATGCCGTTTTCTTCAATTGATTTGAAGGAAATTAATATTTCAGGTACATAAGAGACAATTTGCTGATGTATATTTATTTGAATGTATAGATAGATATAAATAGATTTTTTTCACAATGACATTATATTTTAAATATTTTATATAGTTTTAAAATATGAAATAGCGGAATCTTTTATTACTTATAATTGTTGAAATTCACACTGGCTGGTAATCTAATACTTACACACATGTTACCCTTCAGGTTTCAAGAATTTTCTATGCTGTTTACAGTTTAACGGCCGATTTAAACTCGAATTGCGTTTGAGACTTAGTAAATTTAATTTCTTCATAGTCACATTTAACAAATTGTAAAGTTGTTTCTACGTTTTCCTACTGAATAGAAATTTATACAATTCCATGGTATTCTTATATTCTTTATGTTATATTTGTGCGATATTTGAACGTTTTGTAAAAAAAATATACATTTAGTGACCTAAATCATACGGAAATCGGTTAGTTGAAATTATTTATTTTGGCATTCTTCTTTTGTATCAATTATATCGAAAAATTGTGATCATAGCATTAGGTAAGGATTTAAAATAAGTATTACAAAGGCATATTGATAACTCCATGTAAGGTATTTCACGATATGTCTATAACTTGGAATTTACAAAAAAAAAAATAGATGTGCATAGTAAAAAACAAATTTGAAAATAAAAAGTGAAATATAATATACTTAATGTGTAATATATGGTGTATCATACATTTGATTTAATAATACAAAGAAAAACGAATTAATTTATTAAGATATGTTTGAATGCTTATTTATGGAGCATACCTATTAATGTTAACATTGCCTCTAAATAAATATTTTTCTTTAAATTTAACATTACAACTTAGATTTGAAGCAACAAATCCAAGTTGTAATGTTTAACTTGTTGCTTATAGTTAACTGATTTTTTAGATTTCAGTATATACTGAACTATATCAGGTGTTACATAATGCTAAGATCACAGCAGTTTGATATATTACAATTAAAAGCTGAATTATGAATGGTTACAAATTGTTCAATTGAACAAATGTCACATATCAAATTTTAAATTTGTGAAAAATCATTGGAAAAGACAGCAAATTAACAGACAACTTCTACTTTTATTTCTAAACGGAATGACGCTGTTTTTCGTATCAATATATTATAAGAAATGTTTAAATATATTAAAATATAAAGAGTATTTATTTATTTATTTAGAAGTAGTGGCCATGCATAATTCAGTTTTTGGCGAGTATCTATATCTAAATCTGACACTTGTGGCTGGTAATTAATATTAATTTAACCTGTGTACTTTTGTCATACTTCATTTTACATTTTCGTTGTAGCGTTAACGAAACTTAGTTCCATTTAATGTTACTAGATGTCGCCATTATCGCGACATTAATTTATTGAGACGACGCTCTTTGTTCAAAACTAATGATACACAAATTACGAGCCTATCGAGTTAATACAATAGACAATTCTCTTTACAGTGTTGTGGTTTCATTTGCCTTCGAAAACGAATCTCCATTGCAGTAAGTTACTTAAAGAGATGCCTTTTTGGTGCTGTCGAAAGATTAGGTTCTTAGTTCCTAATTTTCAGAGATAGGCCCCTAAATTTTTATTTATAGTGCCAGAGTAAAGCGTGTACTAGTACCCTAACATTAAACAATATAATTAAAGTGCCACACCCATAAAGTATATAAATGAAATGCGCTTTCATTTAACTTTAAAAGTGGTGTCATCTCTAAACTATGTCTCGTATTCATAACTTATATCACCATTCCCTTTTCGGTCGGGGTCTCTAAAAATGTATCCGTTCCATTTCATATTTAATCTGTGTCGGGTTAAGGAGCGTGCTACAATGAAACTAGAACGCGTTGGACTATGATTTATTTCTATTGCATATCAAATCCTCTCAGAACCCCGGGTCCCAACTGGTCTGGTCGTTGGCGTCCACCAGCTTGTAGCAGACCACCGTGTCCCCTGGCTGCACCTCGAACGTTGGGTCGTCGAAGCGGAGGCCGCACTCCATGTCCCTTTTGATCGTGTTCACCTCCTCTTTCAGATGCTTCATGGAGGCCAGCTTGCCTGTTGGGTTTCCGTTGACGTGAGTGAAGACAGTTTTATGATTGGCTTCGAACGACTGACCATCGAAAACCACCTCGACACGGTACAGAGCAATACGCGACAGAGGCACAGTTAGAGAGATAAACGGCAGAGTCACCTTCAAACACCGTCTCGCAGCCGCGCAGCACGCGGTACAGAGCAGCGCGCGACAGAGGTACAATTACAGAGCAATAAATGCGCAGAGTCACCTTCGAACCCTTCATCGCCGTCGCGCCGCACGCGGTACAGAGCAGCGCGCGACAGAGGCACAATTACAGAGAAATAAACGGCAGGGTCACCTTCGTATACTGCCTCGCCGCCGCGCAGCACGCGCTACAGAGCAGCTCAAAATAGAGGCACACATACAGAGAAATAAACGCGCAGACAGAGCAGGTCGATATAGAGGCGCAAGTGCAGAGCAATAAAAGGCAGAGTCACCTTCGAACAGCACCTCGCCGCCGCGCAGCACGCGCTACAGAGCAGCTCAAAATAGAGGCACAGTTACAGAGAAATAAACGCGCAGACAGAGCAGGTCGATATAGAGGCGCAAGTGCAGAGCAATAAAAGGCAGAGTCACCTTCGAACAGCACCTCGCCGCCGCGCAGCACGCGGTACAGAGCAGCTCGCGCCAGAGCGCCGCGCACGCACCTGCACCCCGCCACCGGCACCTTCCGCCGGCCCTCGGACACGAGGAACTGCTGCAGCACGTTCGCCTCGCCTGCCCAATACCGTTCAATTGAGGTTTCGGGACATTTCTTTATACACAACGTTCCTCAATCCCAAACTAAACAACGCTTGTACCTTTAGTACGGTTTAGTACCCATAGTACAAGAGTAGCATATAACTGAACATACTTAAGCATACTTTTCTTAATTTTATTGATAAGTCTTTGTATTTAGAGCGAAACTTAAAAAGAATATAGACAAAAATGTCGCAAAACCTTTTACCGCAAGGATTCGAATCTGCGAATGTTGAGAAACCTCCAGACCGGAACCAAAAAAGGCACCAGCCGGAGAAACTAAAAATTACACGCCCCCCAATGAACTGGGACGCCCCCACCACCAGCCGGACCCAAAAAGGAACCCCTCCCCCAATAAACTGGGACCCACCCAGGGCTCACTCACCGACGAGCTCCTCCACCTGCCGCTTGGGTATCCTGGCGCTGATCTCCTCTTTGACGTCGTCGACCAGCTGGTAGATGACGTTGTGCTTCTTGATGGGCACGCCAGCGTCCTTCGCCTCCGCGGCCACCGAGGGCGGGCACTCGACGTTGAACGCGTAGATCGCCGCGTTGAAAGCTTGCGCGATCTGGACGCGGACTTTGAGTTTTTCAACCGGCTTCGGCTGTTTTGCACGAACGGGCAGCACCGTCCGGGTGAGACCAGCGTGAGGTAGCCGGTGCACACTAGGTGGCAACGCATCTAACGTTGATGAATGCAGAACCCTAACGGTGTTCTAAATGTGCATGGGCGGCGGTTGGCATCAGGTGAACCGCCAGCTCTGTTGCCACCTTGTCACATTATAAAAATGACGATATACTGACATATATTAAAATGTACGCATCATACCTTTTAATAAAGTGGGTCCCGGCTACCTCTCTCACCAGACGAATATACAACTTCCATTACACGCCGGGCTTCTATGTCGTCCCAGACGGACCTGTCCATACGTGTAACAGTAAACTGTTGCCTGTTAAATATACTTATGCTGTGTCGGTTACGTTTAGTAGAACAAACGTAACCGACACAGCATATCTTCATTGCGAACTCTATCGCATGAGAGTAATAAGGTGGATTTAAATTTCGCGAGTAGCGCCGTCTTTGCCGTTGGAGACGCCCACGTCGAAATCCATTCACAAGATCCGTATGCCACTCACCTCCAGATCGTTGGGAGTCACCTGGCCGACCCCGAAATGCACCAGATCCAGGCGCACCCTCTCGTGCTCGTCGTATGTCTCCAGGATGTCCAGGATCGCCTCCACGGAGCCGTCCACGTCGCCTGACGAGTTTTGAACAAAAATTTAATAAAATATAACGTCGCAGGCAATTAATGGATAGAGAAAACCAAAAAGCTAAGCATTTAGTAAGCGGAAAAAGAAAGAGGAAGAAGAATCCGTAGCTATAAAATGAATATAGAAGTATATAGATTTTATGTGCAACGACGTTTCCAGATTATGGCTGTCCCGAATCGAGCCCCCGACCCCCGACGCCGAAGCTGACACCTTGGCAACTGCGCCACGGCGTTCTTACGCATTGAATGGGGAAATAAATAATGACTGCTTAACCAGGCACGTGAACCTTTGAGCAGCACGCTGAGGGTGGGGTGGTCGTCGTGCTGGATCATCTTGGCCCTTGGTCCTTCGGGCCGGATTCGCATCCTGCCCAGGGCCCTCCTCCGCGCCAGGGCCGCCTTGTACTGCGTCTGGTGCTGGGCTTCCTTCTCCTTGATCGCTTCCAGGTCCTCCTGCTGCTTCTCCTTCATCCGCTGCGCGTGCCGCCACCTCATCACCTCGTTCGCCCGCCTCTGTAGCCAGCGGGTTGTTCCAGTCTTAATGTTTATTCGCTTTGATGTCAACGATCGAAAGGTTTACTTTGTACGCGACCTACGTCTATATTTTTTTATGTAAGAAGGTGGCAAATGAGCTGGCGGTTCACTTGAATTTGAGTGCTAACCGTCGCCCATGGACATTAACAACACCCTTTGGGTTAAAGTGAGCCCCGGCCAAATGGCCGTGAGGCCACCTCACTCACCAGACGAAACGCAGAAGTACGACACTTTCACTTCACGCCGGTCTTATATGAGGCCGTGGCAGTTCTCCAGACGGACCTGCCCATTCGTGCAAGAGTAAACTGTTGCGCGGGCCCACCACTGGCAAAGTGTATAGAATAACCGGCTCCTTCGAGCTGACTGTGATAAAGGCCGATTTACATTAGTCAAGTATTGAGTACAGTAGACAAGTACGGAGTAAGTACAGTAGTGTAAACGGTCCGACAGCGACAAGTCAACTTGGCTGTCACCGCTGATCGACGGTTCACACTACTGCGCTTACTGTACTTGTCTACCGTACTAAACACTTGACCAGTGCAAATCGGGCTTTAGCCAGTGGGGTAAAAATGACCGACTTCCACAGCCAAACCGACTTCCACACGAGGTTACCACAAGTCTACAAGGCCACCTGTCCGGCCAGTTCCTACGAAGTAGAAGTGGAAGAAAGTGGAAGTGGAGTAGAAGTAGAAGAAGTGGGGTATAGAATAGTGGCTTTGAGCTGACTTCCATTATTCGAGCTGACTAAAAAAAATAAATTTCTAAAAAGCAATGGCGACATCTCTCGTTCGAATTATCGTTTTAAAACGATATTCAAAATAGTTTGTATGCTGGAAAGGATATAATAATGGATGCGCCAAGCAGTGCTTCAAATGCTAAAAAACAATGTAAGTAGATAAAAGATATTAATTTTCGTCGGTGTGGCAGTCAGCCGTTTAGCTTAGTGGCTAGAGCGTCAGTTCGCGAGTGCCGAAGACGTCGGTTCGATTCCCACAGCGGCGACAATGTTATCGTACTTTTTCTAAAAATTTGAATGACTTCCATCAGTCAAAGTGGGGTAGGAATGTCACCTCCGAGCTGACTTCCAGCAGCAGGTCTCCGGCGGCGGGCAGCTCGCGCCAGCCCAGCACCGCCACGGGCCGCGAGGGGGGCGCCTCCGGCACGCTGCGGCCCTCGGCCGTTTGCAGCACGCGGACCTGCAAACGGCACAACGATCCAATCATTGCTTAACTGAACACAATCTAGCATGATTACAAAAGATTGCCTACCATACGTAGCAAACAGAATGCACGATGAAAATATAACGTTAGGTACAAAGTTTTGTCCACTGACTTTTTTTTATGTGAAAAGTTGTCAAACGAGCAGACGGTTCACCTGATGTTAAGTGAATAATGCCGCCCATGGACGTCTGCAGCACCCGAGGGTTACAGATGCGTTGACAACCTTTTGAAAATTGGGCTCCGGCTACCTCAGTCACGAGACGAAACGCGAAAGTATTTGTCATACTTCCACTTTACGCTGGTCTTCTGTAAGGTCGTGGTACTTACCCGGACGGGCCTGCCCATTCGTGCAACAGCCGAGGCAGCTGCGTGGCCCTACCACCGTAAAAACTACTATTAAATGAGTAAAAAGCTATTAATTTTCTTGCATTATATAAAACCAAATCTATATCTCGAATTGATCTGTAGATCTCCCTTACTTTCGCCCAGCCTGTACCGGCGACCAGCACACAGCCTTTACGCAGAGTGCCCCTTTGCACTAACACAGTTGCTTGTTTCCTGCGAATAATATGATATTCAAGGTAAGCCGTTGAGCTCAGTGGTTACAGAATCGGGCGCGTATTCCGGATTACACAAGTCAGATCCTCGTCATAAGAAACTTTTCGTCCATTTTTCTAAAAATCTTCATAAAATTTTTAATTTTCATCTTAAGTGCAGAGAGTAGTGTAAAAAGTCATCCTTTAAAAAAATAATATTATTAAATGATTTCACTAACTTTTTTTCTCTAAATATTAACTTACTTTCCCGACATTTCGTCACTATATTGTTACTTTCGTTTTGGACCATAATTCATTATGGAATTTAATTTATAATATAACTGTGAGTAACTTTTAACTATAATTAAATCTCAAGAAGTTGTTGGGACCACATGGGAAGCACCAGCTTTGAAACAAAAAAAAGAATCATCAAAATCAATCGAAAGTTCTGAGGTAACAAACATTAAAAAAAAACAGTCGAATTGATAACCTCTCAAAAAAAAATTAAAAAAAAAATTAGTCCGCTCCATCTCACCCCAGGTGCGGGTGCACCTGCGCCTCGAGCACCACCCCCTCCACGCGGCCGGCCGGGTCGGCGCGCAGCCTCATCATCTGCGCCTGCAGGCTGAGCGCCTCCAGCAGCGAGTCCAGGTGCAGGCGGCGCAGCGCGGACACCGCCACCGCCTGCACCTCGCCGCCGAGCGACTCGCACACCACGCCGTGCTGCGCGAGCGAGCGCAGCGTGCGCTCCTGGGAACGGCCCCTCCCAGGTGACCCACATCGTCCCCACCCGCGCAAGAACTCTCGTGGGGACAAAGTCGGGTTGCAACGTCGAACTCGCACACCGGCTAAAAGCCCTAAGAATCACGATGCTCCACCTCCCACTCCTGGCATCGGCCCCTTCCAGATCACGCACGACACTCGAGCGGGCGAGGTGCTGTTATATCTGACACGTACCCCCACACACATACAAGCAATTCTATTCTATTCTACAGTTATGTCGGACTCGCACCGACTAAAACCCCCGCCAATGCTCCTCCTACTGCTCCTGGGACCAGTCTTTTCCTGATGCCACATCCCCAAACAACCAAGATCTCTCGCTCGGGCAAGGGTTAGGTCGGACTAGCACCGACTAAAACCCCATGAAGCTCCACCTCCCGCTCCTGGGACCGGTCCCTTCCCGATGACCCATATCCCCAACCGGGACCTCTCGCGGGCACGGCCGCCCTATCCGTGGACAATAGCATCGTCGTCCTTATAACCACTCCAGTTTATTCAATAACGCAATATTGCTGTCTACCTCTCCGGTCAAAATTCCCAATAATTCGGCCGTAGTTTACAGTACAGCGTGTTTTTAAGTGAGTTTTTAATTTTGTATAATCCCCCCTCCCTCTTCCGGAAATCCCTCCTCACTTCCGGATATCTTTGAAAATTACCTCTACCGATGTTCTGCTGAAAATAACATTTTAGATTTTTCGTATGTCGGCGGGTTGTCACTTGACATCGGCTGAAACGCCAGCTCACATGCCACCTTCATACATAAAAAAAATATACAGCATGGTGTTACCTAAACCGCGACTTGAACACACTTCTATTGCTACTTGCCAATAATCAAAAAAAAAAAATACGTAATTAAAAAAAAACAATTAAATTTGTAACATCCTATACAACTGCAACTCTCTGTTATCTTTCGTTTATCATTCGTTGCCACAACGTCGCGTTACAAGTCTCTCCTTCTAACGGTATTTTTTATCTCTTTTAAAATCATTCAACCAATTCATATGCTTTGTGACTTTTACAAATGAACTTTACGATACAGTTTTATACGTACGGGTGTCATAAAATTATTTGTTTTGGAAAATTTAATAACTCGATAAATTTTGATGTTTAAACAAAAGTTTTATACAATTTTAAAAAGCTATCCTCTATATGTGTGTTGATTTATCACGGTAGTAGCGCCAAGTTGTTTATAACTCATCACCATAACAAATTAGCTAGCGTTCAAAATGTAAAAATGGAGGCATACCTACAATGTTCACACCTGGCTTGTCGATTTTGTTGACGGCCACCAGGATCGGAACTAGAACAGGAGAGACCTATAACTGAGGAAGAATTATTCTTTTCCCACGGCGGGGTGGCGGTTCACCTGGTGTTAAGTGATCACCGCTGCCCGTGGACATCTGCATCCGTGGGGCTGCAGATGCGTTGCACCCTTTTAAAGAAGTGGGACCCAGCTGCCCCATTAACCAGACGAAATGTAGAAGTTGTAACACTTCCACTTCACTCCGGTCATCTGCTAGGTCGTGATACTCCACCGGACGGCAACAGCGCAGACTGTTGCGTGCTCCCACCACAGTTAAGTGTCATAATCACAATATTCACCTTAAACCGTTTAGAGAAGCACCAGGCTCACCACTATGTTAGCAATATTTTTAGCCACAAGGCTCTGGAAGAGATCTCTCCTTAGCGACAAGACCGCCTTGTTGTTTCTATCTCATAAGTTTTCACATCTGTAACGTTTCCTTTCATGTTTTATGGTGTTCAATAAAGCATATACAGGGTGATTTTTTTCATACTTTGACATGAAGTTAATTGGGTATTCCATAATTCAAAAAAATATTAATATTTTATTTTGACAAGAAATAACCAGAAAAATATCAGTTCAAACATTGTTTGTTAATCCCGTTTAGAGTGGTCACCCTATTGATAAGCGGTTTAGTAATTATGCGTTCAGCGAAAAGGTTAGTTTAGAAATTTCAAAAGATGTCCTTAATGTTTGAAAAAAATATTATTTTTAATCTTTGAAATAAAAATCACAAGTACGTATCAGATTCAGATTTAGAATCTAATTCTGCATAAGCTCTGTTAATAAGGCAAAGTATCTTTATTCAATATAGGCTTAACTTAAGCTCTTATTGAACGTCAACAAAAAATCTTCCACCGGATCACTTAACTAGACCTGCACAGAGAAAAACCGGCAATAAACTCTACGGTCTTGTTCTTTTTGTTATTTTTTTTTATATGTCCGTCGTCTATAAAATCACCCTGTATATCTATAAAAGTATATAAAAATTTCATCTCACGATATATGTTCGCGATAAAGTCCGAAACTACTAAACCAATTTATATCAAATTTTGTAAGCACTTGTAATTTGGTGCAACTTGAGAGATAAGGTAGCGTTTATCTAAATTATTGATCTCAATATTTGTTATTGCAAATTATTTGTTTATTAGATGATAAAGAGCTCTCTGTGATTCCCATAAGATTGTAACAGATGGCGGTGTAAGGTAATACAAATTTATCTGCTGGATTGAGTAAGTATCCGATAGATGGCGCTATGCTAGAATTAGAAACGTATGGACCCGGTAGAATTGGCGCAGACGAAGTTGCGCGGGCCAGCTAGTACGTATACATATATACAGGGCGCTCACCGTCCTCCCTTTTTTTTTTTGTTTCCGTGGGGGAAATGAATACGCATAGCGGGTTATGTCTGACTCGAACCGACTAAAAGCCCCACGACGTTCCACCTAGGCGCATACCGGCAGCGTCACGGGAACGCTTTGGCACACTTCCGCGGCCCTGGCCGCGCTGGCCGCCACGGCAGCCCCCTCCCGGGAGCGACTCCCCTCTCCTCCGGGTAAGGCCAGCGAACTCACCGTCCGCCTCCCTGGCCATCCGCACGGACTCGAGCGTCTGCTGCATGACGCCGTCGTCCGCGGCCACCACCAGCACCACGATGTCGGTGGCGCTGGCGCCGCGGGCGCGCATCGCGCTGAACGCCGCGTGCCCGGGCGTGTCCAGGAAGGTCACCGTCTCGCCGGACGGCAGCCTCACTGCGGAGTGAAAGGTAAACTAACACCCTATACATGTCCCACCGCTGGGCAAAGGCCTCCTCTGTACGGAGGGTATCAGGGCATAGTCCACCACGCGGCCCCACTGCGGATTGGCGTACTTTTTTTTAATGTTAAAAGTTGCCAAACTAGCAGACGGTTCACCCGATGTTAAGTGAATACCGAATATTTCAAAGATACGCAGGTTTCTCACCGTTGAGCGCGTGATAAAGTCAGCACTTAAAATTAACAATTTCATTTGTAAATGGTTATGTTATGCGAGAAGAGACAAAGACGGAATAAAGATGGTAGTGATGCGATGACTTGTTAGGTTTAAATAGTCAATTGGTTAACATTGAACAATTCCGTAAACGAGTGAAAATACCAGAGACGCACTGCACACATCGTCGCAACACCAATTTATGCGTTAAAATGTCTAAAAACTTAATGAAGAAAACCATCCCAAGTTTTTTCTTTTTTTTATGTGAAAAGTTGCCAAGCGAGCAGACGGTTCACACGATGTTAAGTGAATACCGCCGCCCATGGACATCTGCTACACCCGAGGGTTGCAGATGCGGTGACAACCTTTCGAAAATTGGGCTCCCAAGTGACAAATGGCCAGCAGCAGATACCCTCAAAAGCGCCAATGTGCTGCGTGATGCCCCCAAACTCCTGGTCCACCACGGAGGTGTTCCGCAGGGCGTCCAGGAGCGTGGTCTTCCCGTGGTCCACGTGGCCCATCACGCAAACGACCGGCGGCCGCGGCCGCAGCGCCGACTCCGGCGAAGGGGGCGCTGGCACCGCGTCCCTGTTCTAAACACAAATTACACTGAATTAAAACTAAAATATATAAAAGCTAAACATAGTTTCTTTCAGTGATGTGTAATCGCGTAAATAAAAGAAATTGAACAATGAAATGAAAACATGGTGCGCAATGTACCAGAGAGAATGTGCGGAGAATTCGATTTTTGAAGGTTTTATTTGTCTATTACAATTTTAACGTCGGGGTCAGTAAACCCTTTGACGAATTTCAACATATTACATGTGGCGTCATTAGATTCATCATTGTGCGGGTGATATATTGCATACTATTTCAATATGATATCCGATAAAAAAAATCCATTTGATACGCCAGTCGCAAGTCATCACATAAGCAGCTATTGTCATCAACAAACTTGAACACATAATAATACATGGCGACACAAATTGTTACATTTATTACTTTTACGTTATTTTTTTTATAACTTTTTTCTACTTAAATAATGCAAATCTGTTTTTGGCTCTAATATTACATGTATGTAGAACATTAGATGTACGTAAAATTTAACAAGGAATGTTGACTCGGTTATAAACTAAAAATAATAAAAAATAAATCAATAGAACTTGCCTCCTCCTCCTCTATAACTTTATCAGGTGGCGCGACAAGCTTGAACCGACATCCCAATATTTTGATAACATCTCTGATGATTTGCGGATTATGTATGACTGTGTCTTGCTTGTAAACTGTATCTGAATTTTTGTCGGCAAACTCCAGGGCTTGGAATACATGGTCTGGAAGTTTATCACCGTAATATTATACATATTTTTAGCCTACAATATAACTATTAACTAGTAATAAGCATAGGTTGTTAGTGTGGATCATACACAAGTAATTTTGTGACTCAGAAATGTTTGTTCTCGATCTGCATATTTGTACCCATAGAGTGTTGACATTGGGCAATTAAAGTTACTTTTACAGTAAAACATTAAAATAAACCTATTAGTAAGTATTTATGGTTATGAAGTCTCTAAAACAAAAATGTGTTGAAGTTATTGTCAGTATGCTATTGCATTTATTTAAATTTGTATAAATGATATTATAACAAATAAAATTATCATCTGCCTATGAGCAATTAAATGGAAAAGGCATTAAAGGGCACACAAACAATAGATTGCGAGATAAAATGTTAACAGGTATTTAACTTTATATTTGATAACAGAGACATTGAAAGGGCTATGAATATTTTTAATTACATAACATTAGTTCCTACCAACATCCTTTTTTAGAACATTGGCTATATCCAGCACTGTCATGTTCCTCCATATCCCCACCACCTCTGTCCCAGCTTTGGGTGAATACCGTATGACACGTCTTCCTAAATTTTCCACTGCCTGTACACAAAATATACCAGTTGTATTATTTATAAAATGTTTAAAGAGGAGCTGATCATTGAACTGAAGATTTTGTGCACAACTAAAATACAATGAGGGTAAATAATAATAACTTATGTTTTATAAATTTTAATTTAAACAAAAAAAGGATTTTTATGACCCTACCTTTTCTTCAGGTGTCTTCCTTTTTTTACTGCATAATGCTGATACAGAAATATGACGAACCAAGTACTTTACTTTATTTTCAAACTGGATTTGGCATTCTAATGAACTTGCTAAATCATTTTTAATTTGTTTAAAGGGTAACCTAAAATGTTGCATTAAAGTAATATTAAATGAATTAATAAATGTATCATTTACTTTTTCAACATATACTTTCCGAAAATCTTATAAATTTATAGAATACTTTTAAACTTACTTCTTAAATAATATACTTCTGTACATATTGAGAAATTAAAATAAATGTTGAATACCATAAGTTCTAAAAGTACCACAAGTACATAACTTAATAATCAAAATAATTGTAATTCCTAATACTTTATTTATTGGCATTAAGTTATAAATAAAATAATTTTCTATTTACTAATCTTTCAAAACATAACCTATTTGTATTTTTATTATTTGACACTTACATAGACATGACATTAGACATAGACTTTATGAAGTCTATGAAGAGTATATAAGTTTTTTTTATGAAGTGAGTGTACACTTCCTAAAAAAACTTACATTCGCTAGACCAGCGGCTTCGACGAGCAGAAGAAAGAAGAAGACAGAAGATTCAGGAGAAAAAAATGTAGCTGGTACATGACTATGACACTATAGTGGTGACGTAACTGCGGGGCACCAAATTTTATGTAACGATCGAAGACTTTCAAAGGGCGGAGCATCAAATGGCGAAGGCAAACCCAGATTTATCTCTGGATACGATCTACAATAGATTACGCACTATGCCAACCCGGACCTAGGAAGGGTCACTGCGTCGTCACTAATGTGGTACTGTACCTGTATTAGCCTCTCACTGCATGTTCGCTTTGGACTTAAATACGCACCACCAGCGTGATACGCCACAATATCCGCCTACAAGAACCTGTCCATGTGAATTATCATGTGGATGGGATAATCTGTCAGGAATGATGTTATTGAAAGGTATCTGGGAATCGAACCTGTTGAAGCCTCTGTCAAAACCCACACCTACAAGGCACCGATCCTATTGGACGTGAAATTAAAGTTTTCGTGATTTTTTGTGTTTTCGTAAATCCCTTAATGTATTATGTGACTCTAAAAATCGAACTTATTACTTACCATTTATTAGGTTCCACTATTTATTGCATACATTGCAAATGCAGGTTTAAATCTCCATTCGTTATTAGCGGACTGCATCATCATGCACCAGCTTTAGTTTACCAGGACCCACTTGTCGTTTGCTAAATATGCTGTCAAAGCTACCGGACTAGATTATATTTACCCAAAAAAAAAAAAATGTGTACATCATATATATATACGCATCGTAAAAAGAAAATAACTAAAAATTTTATCTCTGTGCCAATACTCTTCGTTTGTGAAAAAGACATACATTCGATAACGTTTTATTTAAATAACTTGAATTTATAAGTAAATGTCAAAACGTTGTTATTGGTTTACATGGTATTATCGTGAAGTAGGTCACTTTGGGACTAACTTCATCATGTCGCTTTTTGGCTGTCGGTATGCACGGGTATCGTAAAAACTATACTCTCATGTTTTTTCCGAACGCGCCAAAAGAAGTATAATAACTTTAAAATATGTTCCGTTACGGATGGCTAGGTCAGACGTTATCGTTACGTATTTCATATACATTTTCTTTGGGCTAGATGAGTCACTGTTGGCCTTAGAGGCCTTTTCATCGTTTTGGGAGGTCGCCAAACTCTTAGGGCGCTGTGGCGGATGCTCCATGGAGTGACTAGGCTCAAGGGTCCCCGAGAGGTGACCTCGGCTTGGGCTATCACTCAATTTGCGTTTAGAATTCCGATTCGAGGGTGCCCGAAAGGGCCGGACCTCGGCTCGATCGTTAGCTGTTATCTGAATGGATTGGCTACGTGCGAATGTGTTGTTTAAATACGTGTTTATTATCTACGTTTAAGCCTAAATATTCGACTAAATAGGAATGAATGGGCCGTAGTTATTATGAGAATAAAAAAAATAATACTTTATTTGATATAGAAATTGTTTATGGGTTTCACTCGAAACGTTATTTTGTTTCATATCAAAATATTTAAAAATTGGATAGTTTTTATATATTCTATTAAATAATTATGTTTAAATATGAATAGCCAATATCTTAAATGAATCGGAGAAAATGTTTGCAAACGTTATTAGAAATCAGAATGGATATATAATTATATTCATTAAATTATATATCTTGCCAGATTGAGTCTCAACAGGACAGGCTCAATTGTAAATTATTAATATTTATACATCAAGTTTAAATTTGAAAAACTGCAATTTGAGTACCTATATGTACTTTTCATTTAAAGCGCATATTATATTATTTATAATAATCCTCAATTTAAAAGAAGTTTTATTGTATAATGTTGTTTTTTTTTTAACGAATATGATATATAAAAAATATGAATAACTTTTGTGATGTAAATCTACCTGAAAATCGTATAAAAATTATCCATAGACAAGTACTATTTATGTCCGCCATTCATTCTTTTGAGTTGCTTTTTCGTTTTACGATTCCCTAGAGAGCACGGTTTGTCATCGAGATCTACGCATTACCATTGCTTAGGGTTTATTACGGAGAAGCAGATAAAACAATTAACGCTTCGCATCAACGTTTCACGAAAAGCAATACAATTTAGTGAAATAGTTACCTAGTGATACGAGATCATATCTTTCTTCCAGTTATGCTATTCCTTGCCATATACGTTGTCTGCTACAACGTTCGCTCGAGTGCCTGATGGTGCGGGAATTATGTGCGATTAAAGTAACACAGACGGACTCAGAATGGGAGCCTTTTTGAACAAACCCGAGACTAAGAAATACAACGAGAGCGGGGAAGGTAATGGTCTACGCTATGGCGTGGCGTCGATGCAGGGTTGGCGCGTGGAGATGGAAGATGCGCATCACGCGCAGCTTACTTTAAATGGTACACTGTCGGACTGGTCTTATTTCGCCGTATTTGATGGTCACGCAGGTGCGCGGGTTTCAGCTCATTGCGCTGACAACCTGCTGGAATGCATACTACAAACTGACGAGTTTCGGCGGGAGGAAATAGCCGAGGCAATACGCGCTGGCTTCTTAGACCTAGATAAGAAGATGAGAGAGCTTCCCGAGTTGTCTAATGGGCAGGAGAAGTCGGGTTCAACGGCCGTATGCGCTTTTGTTTCGCCCAAACAGATATATATAGCTAACTGTGGAGATTCGAGAGCTGTACTCGCAAGAAACGGGGCGCCAATATTTGCCACTCGCGATCATAAACCCGAGCTGCCTTCGGAGAAGTCGCGTATAGTACAAGCTGGTGGGTCCGTGATGATCCAACGCGTCAATGGGAGCTTGGCGGTGTCGCGAGCACTCGGCGACTATGAATATAAAAAGGTGCTGGATCGTGGACCTTGTGAACAGCTTGTGTCGCCTGAGCCGGAGGTGTCAGTTCACGAGCGGTCTGAATCTGAGGATGAGTTCTTGGTGCTTGCTTGTGATGGAGTTTGGGATGTGATGAGCAATGAGGCCTTGTGCGCTTACGTCCACTCTCTGCTCCAGCTTACAGATGACCTTGTGACAATAACCAACCAGGTCATTGATACCTGCCTTTATAAGGTAACTCTACTAGTTGTTTTCACATAGATTTCATATAGATATGGTTTTTGATATTTTCTTTATTGTTACAATGAACAAAACAAGGGTAAAAATACATATTATTCCATTTTCAACCATATTTGTTATTCATGTATTGATGCATTTATGTATTCTCTATATTTAAATAATAGACAAATTACTTTTGCCTTCTGCTGTGGGGTTTATAAATATTTAATGAAGCTTAGATATTCCATTTGAAGGTTAGTTGGCAAGAAAAACATTTCAAATGCATGCAACATATGTCGGGTTAGAAGTTATATTTTTCCTAACCACCACAACTTCAAACATATCATAAGATATATATGCATTGCAAAAGTCTAAGATAAACCAACTAATATACAGATGCAATAGTTAGTAGTATATAATATATTATATATGTCATGATTAATACATTAAATAAATCATCAAAGTATTTGGTGATTTATTAATAAAACAAAATATGAAAATTACAGTATGTGACATTTAACAAGCAAACAAAAAACAAAGCTAAGAAAAAATAAAGACCAAAACATTGGTAAAAGTTTTTTATGCGGTTATTTAGGAGCTGATGGTTACTATTGATCTCATCCTCTGGTAATCAAATCGAATGAAATTTCAATAGGCCCTACGGTTGTTGGGTGGTGAATACATTGGCCAGGTTTTTCAAAACCTTTCTCTTGAGCATATCCCACGCATGCTCAATCTGGTTTAAGTCTATTGAACATTCCATAGCATAACTAAATTGAATGTTCTTCTGCAAGAGCCATTCTTGAGTCCTGGCTTTATGGAAGTAAGCATTATCGTGCATCAGACTAAAATCTATGATGCTGCAGAATGGTTTTGACAATAAGTCTGATGAGTGAGGTAGCCGGGGCCTACATTATTAAGAGGTGGCAAAGCACTCTGTAACCCTACGAGTGTTGCAATTGTTCATGGGCCATAGTTATCACTTAACATAAGGTGAACTGCCAGCTTGTTTGCTACCTTCTCACATAAAAAAAAACCTATGGGTAAACTCTTGCAACTACTGTACGCGATCCCTGTACTCTGCTTCTCAGCAACCTGGACTTTTGGAGTGTTAATACTTCCTTGACCAAGATGTCAAGTTGTCCCATGTATATGTGTAACAACACCAAAGAAGGTTTATTACAATTCCGTTTACACCAAAGCTTCAACTTGCAGCATTAATTTTTTCATTTCATTGTTAAAAGTTTTCTCTGCATAACTTATTGCCAATCTTTTTAAGGTTAAAAAATAATAAATGTAGTTAGTTAAAACAGTTGTATTGTAATTCTCTAATTAATTAATTTCTCCTAATTTCGCCATGGTAAAAATCTACTAAAATAATACAAAAGAGTTTTCTTAATTTATTTTTATTTACACACAACATTCTTTTTTCTAAAAGCTCTTAAAATTTATATTCTGAATTAAAAAAGGTTTGCATAATATAGCATTTAAACTTTTTTTGACATGTATAGTATCATGTTACTAGAAAGCAAAAAATAGATCAATATGGCATTGAAATTTTTTTACATAATATTATTTCCTAGCGGCACTTAAAAAAAAAAGGTTTTTAATGTAATTTACTTTTGTGGAGACCAGTTTTCTTGTGTTTGTTATTACAGAAATTATGGGCTTGTGTTTCATAAGTATGTGCATGGAAAAATGTTTGTACTAGTGACTAATTTATACCATCAATTATTAGCAACTATAGAGATCTGTGAATTTAATTACCAAATTTCAGTCTATCTGTGATTGATACTACTGAAATTTTGTTATTGAGGAATTATTCAGCTTTTTAATTGTTCAGTTGAATTAATTCAGATAAGAATAAATATTTAACAAAGACTTTTAAAATACTATAATGACATATGATATCAAGTTTATGGACTGTAAACAAAACTTCAGTTAATATAAAAAAACGTTTATCTGAAAGTTTTCAAAAGATTCATAAATTTTAGATTGAAATAGCAGTATCTTAAAAGTTGCGACACACAATTTCCACATTCCATGTTTAAATTTCATTGCTAATCTAATTTGACAAAGTTTGATAGTATTAAAGGAATAACGCCAAGCGTTGCTACAAATATAATAATAACAAAGTAGAATAGGATGTCGAAAATTTCGCGTGGTGAGGTTGTCGATTACTGGCTAGTGTCGGGACGCGTAATTCGGAAGGCCCAGGTTCGAATCCTGGCGCCAGCATTTTACCTAAACATTTTTAAATGGCTATAATACCCAAACTAAATTTGACTTACGACTTTTTTATGTGAAATGTTATCATGCGATCAGGCAGTTAACATGATCTTAAGTGATTACCGCAGCCCTCGGACATCTACAACACGCAAGGGCTAGTTGATGCGTTGACAGTCTTTGAAATAAGTGGCCTCCGGTAACCTCACTCACCAGACGAAACGCGAAAGTATTATACTTCAACTTCACATCGCTCTTCCGTGAGGCCGTGGTACTTTACCGGACGAGCCGTGCAACAAAAGCTGCTGTGCGGCCACCACATACTGAGACACGAGAGACTGAGTATTAAGGTGTGCATAATGTTTACAGGGAAGCAAGGACAACATGAGCATTGTTCTAGTGGTGTTCCCCGCTGCCCCTAAACCGAGTCCTGAGGCACAGCGTGCCGACCGCGAGCTCGATGAGACGTTGCGACAGAGGCTCACAGGTTGCTATTACTCACTACTGCATGCCTGCTCATATAAGCACAGACACACGGATAGACAGGACGAGGGACGCGTAGATATCAATCGGACGGCATCAAATGATGCCCGGGGATGAATTGCACTAATTGTTGTGTCATAACGAATTTTATTAGGATCTTAACTGTTCATGTGCCATTGATATTGATGCATCCTTACTTTACAAAGGATTTTTTTATATGGAGCCACATATATTACTTTAATTAGTATAGTGTACCATTTGGGGGTATGTATTTTTACTGCTAAAATTTATGGCTCTAAAAGAATTAACAATTTACTATGCTAGCTAGGTTGTACTTGTGCATAATATCAACATGATTCCAGTTCAACTTCACTTGTTTAAGTACCTATGTAGAGATTTATTATAAGTACAAATGTGTGATATTTTATTCATTAATCTAAATTTTCAAAGCAATATTTTACAGTAGTTTTACACTCTTAAGCATATTTTAACCGATATAAAGTATCTAGAGGTACACTTGTGTACACAAATAATCAAGGATAAATTAACTAAATATTAAGAGTTAACATATCCTTTTATATTCCACTTCTAAGCAGCTAAACTGCTATTTTAAAATCTAAATATGGTAAATCAGTAGCATTAATAAAAAATTGACATGTTTTAACAATTAAAAACCAATTTTTTCTCAGCTTTATGTGTTCATCTCTCTGTCTGAATTTAATAAACTTTGTTGTGATAAAAGTGTGCTGTTAAAACTTACAGATTACTATTTTGTTATCTAATATATAACATTGAATTATAGAAATGTTGTATAATCTGTGTGTGCTAATTTAACTAGCTAACATATGCTACAACAACAATAATAATTTAAACATTTTTCCCTGGTTTAAAATTGAGGACTAATAGTCTCCATGAAAAAAATTTTACACTAGTATTTCAGCACCTATCTGAAGTATAGGATATTTCTTTATTTTATTTATTATATTTAATATATATATAAATATATGATAGGTCTCTCTCCATTGCATAAATGCATTATTATCACTCAGAATAATCTTCAAAGACAATCTATATTTGACAAAAGTATATTAAAAAAAAATCATGATAATTTGATTAAGTAAGTATAATAAAATAATTATATAACTTTACACTTAAAAGATTTACTAATGTGTCCAGCTGTGGTTGTGACATATTTTTAATGTCTTCTGCTCTAAATTATTGCTGTTATAATGTGTTACATTTTAATTATTCTAAAGGAAATATTTGTATTCAGTGTTTATATATGAGTATGCTTTAATATTTTTCAAATCTAACATATTTTATGCCAAAATAACTTATTAATCACTGTGTATTTCTCGGACATTATAGGTCATTCAATGATAATTGCATATCAGTCAGTACATAAACATTATTTATATTGATATATATGTAATATAATAATATTCATATGAACTAACCTCATACAACATTAAGTTTCTTCTAACTGTGACATAGTAAAGTTTACGGAATTATAATTCTCTTTTATAAATCTGCTCTCTCAAATTGCCAAATTGATATAAATTTTCTATGCTTAAATAATAACCAATATCAGAATTTTGTTGCTACAGAGTACACATTACATAATAGATTTGATGTGTCAATGCAATGGGATTTATAGTTAGCTTGATTGTTGATGTTCTTCATAACATTTTGTTAATATTTTATATAATTATTGTTGTTACTATAATTAATGGGCCTGTTTATAAGGATCAGTATATGAACCGAGTGTTTGATATTTAGGTACTGTCTTTTAGGTTTCAATGGCTCATTGCCTTAACCCTTTAGTTGAGCTAGGTCTTTATTATTTCAAATCATATTATTCTTATGATTTTAATTCATATATTAAAAAAAAGATAAAACGTGGTCTAGTCTTTTTGACTACAATATTGTTGATTGATTTATGTATCCCACATGGGTATTGTATCACAAAAATCTTCAATACCAAAAGTGCCTGTGTAGAATAATTGCTTCAATTATATCCTTATCTAAAGTGATAGATTTGGTCAGCAGCAAATACTGTTGCTGACACTGTTTGTGCTCGAGAATTATATGGTTTAGGACAATTACCACATGGTTATCCAGTGTGCCATGTAAGTTATAGTGACAGCAACATCTGAAAACATGTCTTTCATCCTATTCTCTGCGCTACATAAACTTTGATAAGTCGTAAGATTTCACTACACTAAAACAATGTCAATCCAAGGCATTAATATATGTTTGATATAATGTGTTACATTGAAGTGTTCTCTAGATTAAATATTGCTTTTCACTTTCCAATTTAAAGGAATTTTCTCACTAATATAAATAGGCTATCCTGGTCTCAATGTTTTGTATTTCACTCTTTCTAATTTGTAAGGTTCTAGAAGCTAGTTGTTTAGAGGTTTCTAATTATCTAAACTTTCTGGTCCATGAGGAAATAGAGGTTTAGTTTTGTGCCATTGCCTATTCAAAAATAAAAAATATCCCCTCAGTGGGCTACATTTCTCACTTTATAATTACTGTAATTTTTGAATACTGTTCAAAAAATGGCAAGGGTTATTATAGATTTAATTAATTATTCATAGGAAGTATCTTTTGATTAGATGTTTTGTCTTACCGTAAATATTTGAATATGCTAGTATAAATGTTACTTTTTTTTCTCCATTTCTTATGGGACCTCTTATTCAATCATATACACATTTTATTGGTATATGATATGTGGGCTATGTGGTTCTCACACAGTTTTCACTAAAAACTGAGCTAAAAATCAAACTGACCCTGGATCTTTTCCTCTTTGTCTTCCATTGTACTCTTGCATAGTTATATGTGTTTCTAACAATTTCTTAGTCCCATAGAATCTTCTAAATTTAAAACCTACATGATTCTTATAAAAGTGAGATATAGTTTATGGTGTATTATAAAGTTACTTAGACAGAGAGCCGTGATAGTTTAGTGTCCAGGTGCTCGCTTTTAATTAAATATACTGAGTTCAAATGCCAGTGGCATTTGAACTCAGCTTGATACTAGTCCAGCATCAATGAAATTGGCAATGTTAAGCACCGAATTATCACATGCTAAACTGTGAAGGAAAACATTGTAACCACCACTGAAATAAACCTCTAATATTTTCGAAAAAATAACCAAAAACCATTTCGAAGATATGTAAAGTCCGCCAATCTGCAGTGGGGTTGCATGGTGGACTATGCCTTATTACCCTCTGTTGAGAGAAGACCTTTGCCCAACTGTGGGACTTGTATATATAAACTTTATTTTTCTTTCTTTGTTTACAGAGTTATACTTTGGAGAAAGTTCATATTTTTTGTCAAACTTCAATGTTGAAAATGAATTTGACACTTTACTAACTTTTCCAAAACGCTGTCAATAAAGTTGTTTTCCTTTTAAATTATAGGTTTTCGGAGGGACATATGTATTTATCCATATGGTCAGATTGCATGATAGCTGTTACCCATTCTAGGGCATAAGACATGCAATGTCTTGATAAAACCTCCCTTGACACATGCATTCCGTCATATAGTACATTTAATTTTAGCCCGCGGTACGTTAGCGTGGTACGTTACAAGAGCCGTGAGGGACTTAGATACGCCGGACTCACCGCCGGGGGTCCCGCCGGACAACACTACACCCACAGTTAGTGCAACAACAAACACACTAGTTCGCCCTAGCCTCCGAGCACGACGAGACCAACACAACGCGTACACAGGGTACACCCGCGTTCCGGGGCGGTTCTCACGGCTCCCAGCCACCGATTAGCTAATTGCGCAGTCGACGGCCATCGGGGTTTCGGTCCGAACCGCGACCTCGATGGCCCTTAGATGACATACCACACTTAAACGTACGCATGAGCACATGCGTGGCCCTACCCACAGCGGAGGGCCCAAACCCGTGGGTTCTGGCTAGCCCACCGGTTCTGCGTCAGATGAAGCTTTAATAGTCTCGGGACTGAAAGCACAAACATCAGTTAATACAAGATACAAGAAGAGCCGTGATGGCTAAGTGTCCGGGCGCTCGCCTTTAATTCGATATTCTCGAGCAACCTGAGTTCGCTCCCCGGTGCCGGCACCAATGAAGTTTTTAACTTTAAATGCTGACTTATCACGTGCTCCGCGGTGTAGGAAAACATCGTGAGGAAACCTGCATATTTTCGAAATAATAACAAAAAAATATATATTTCGAAGATATGTGAAGTCCGCCAATCCGCAGTGGGGCCGCGTGGTGGACTGTGCCCTGATACATAGATATAGAGGAGGCCTTTGCCCAGCCGTGGGACATGTTTAGGCTATTCCTTTACTTTACTTTTTTACGTTATCGTACATTGTTTCGGTTTTATTAAAACTATGTGATTATTAGTAATCTTAGAATTAGTCATTCGAGTTTTATTATCTCTGGTGCAGAAATCACTGCATTACTTTTTCATTGGGTTTTACCATATTATGAATTTCATTACATTTTATTATAATTTATTTCAGTTTATCATTTTTTTTATTGGTATTTAAAGATTTTTTTTGCATAGGTTACCATCCAATATTACATATGTTGTGAGATATTTACATTTTCCATTATGTTCTTTTTAAATAGCTAAATGTTTTATTTAAATAGATATAATTTCATTGTTATCTATTTTATATTGTTTCTTGTTATGAAAGCTATATATTTCTTGTTTCAAGATTAAAATAAAAATATTTAATTATTTTAAAGAGGTGTTGCTATTAGGGAAAAAATATATTTTGTTGTTAATTAATATCAAAATAGTTATAGTTTGTAATTAATTTATATTAGATTTAATCCGTTGGCTTTCAGTACTTCCAGTTTCGTAACTAAATCTGTTAAAAAAATAATTTCATTCTTTAATTACTTATAACAATAAGTATTTGGATTAAATGAATTAATTCAATCGTTTTAAATAAATTGGTGGATAGTGTTTTATCATTCAGTAAATTATGATCTCACATAAATGATGGGGTTCCA